CTGTGTGTGGTGCTTGCAGGGTTTACAGCAGCCATGCTCAGCCATGTGACAAAACACCCTTTTTAAGTTCCTTTGCCTGGCTCTCTATGCATCTCTTTCTTCTAATTTTACACTTGGGTCTTCTACATCCTTGGAGAAGAGGAAATCACCAAAAGTAAGATCAAAGTACAGCAAGTACTTAAGTAATTTCACTTATATTTAAACATCTGAGGTCCCTACCACTGCAGAGAAAACAACATTGTGGGGAAGGAGATTTGCCCACAAAGAAAAAGCATTTTGGATTTAGGTACTAGCTCAGTCTGGAGACATGGAATGAAACTGTAGGGGTTCATTTTTGCATTCTAAAAGGCTGTTTTCTTTTTTCTTGCAACACATTTATGTCCTGGGCAGTAATGCTAAACACCTTCCAGGTACATGAGAATCTTGTTAACATTTTCTTTCTGGCTTGGTTTTATTACTTATCATCGATTATAGAGCAGATGCACAAACACTCAGGTTAACAGAATGTGCTCCAATCTTCTCTAAGCACATGGTTAATGTTTCCTTCAGAAATGTTGCAGCATAATTTATCTTCAGGCAATGCAAGTTCAGCTGTGCAGCACACCTCACTAAACACACCTAGCTTGTCACTGGAGCCCAGAAATCTGCTGGGTTGGCTTGCCCACGACTCAGATTAGTCCTGTGAAGGTCTGGATGCAGCCAGGTGACTCCTCCATGAGCAGTGCCAGGAATTCCAGCTTCACTGGCACAGCTGGCAGCCCTGCTGCAGGGACCACTGACTGATACAGGAGCCTCAGCAAGCAAAGCAGGAACTTGAGATGCTTGTAGGCAGCTTGGGCAACAACATCAAAAGACATACACTTGAATAAATAATCCTAGTCCTGTTCAAAGAGGTATTAAAACATTGTATGTTTTCAATATTGGAACATTACCCAGGGGGACATCCATGCATTATTCTTCAGTGATGGGGTAGAAAGTGGGTTTAGGAGGTGTTATTTACTTGCAAGTTCTTTTTTAGTAAATTGTGTTTCCTGCCAGAATGGAGTGATATGCAAGGTTTAGGTCTGTGGTGCAGATACAAACCAGCATGGTGCCCTCTCCTCATACAGGCCCTTGCACCTGAGTGGATTTCCTCATGTGGCAAGGCACAGAGACCTCTTTCTTTTGTTTCACTAGTGTGAAAGTTAAGTAAGAAATAATTCCTATATAACTTTTTTTCCTATGCATGATGTCACCCTTTCCCTCCCTCTGTCTGGCCTCAAATTCCCTAAAAACATCAACTATGGCATTCTTCATGGGCTTTCTGAGCTTCCTGCCACTTTCCCAAAACGACAAGGCTGAGATGAGATCAATCCTTACAGTTGGGTGGTAGCAGGACGCTCTGTTCCAAAGAACATCTCTTTTGCCTCAAAAGGCTGTTACTTTGTGAAATGAGAAACTTAATTCTTGACCCGATCTGAAAAAAAGTAGCAATTATCCTGTATGTATTTATGTGAAGAGGTGAAGTTTTTTAGTTCCTGTCTCCCTTCCCGTGTCAGAAACATGCATTGTTATGGAAGGTTACAGAAAACCTTTGCAAACCTTTTAGGAGAGTCTGATTCAGACCCACCACATGTAGACTTTTACATTCCTTTTATCTGTTTTTCTGCATCTGTTTTTGTTCCAGCTCCTGCTAATATGCAAGAGTAAAAAGCATGTTCAGGTGGAGAAAATACCATTGGTAGTTCCTAATGTCAGAGTGCTACATTGGTAAATGAAAAGAATTCACGTTCCTTATTCCACGCCCAAAAACAAATCCCTAGGGGAAATCCTTTAACTTTCTCCACCTCAGACTCCAGCTGAGTTTCCTTCTTACCTTCTCCCCATATTCACACACCCCCATGCTTTGAACTGAGTGTGGAAGGAGCAGAGGTAGCTATTGACAGTGGATATAACCCTGCACATTTCCTTTGAGCTCTTGGCCGTGTTTTCCAACATTGTTGCATTTTGAGTTCGTAGCACAGCAAAGATTTTCTTGCTCATTTAATTTTCTCTTCTGATGCTGCAAGGCTTAGTTCATTAGCTTAAAAGACTGTCACGCTTCTGGAGCACAGAATATATTTGGCAGGAGTGGATAGTAATTATCTAAAAATTCAATCAAGCCATTTTTTTGATTGATTTTGGGATGAGATATATAGGCTTCAGTGGAATTAATTGCATCCTAGTATTTTTTTAATTTATGTTTTAAGCATCAGATTGCCCCACCAACTCCCACTTTCTTTGATACATTTATTTTTTCCTCTTACCAACTATATACAAAGTCTCTTGTAGGTAAATGCTCTGACTGTATTGCTTTTTTTTTATTACATTTGTCTTCCACTTCCAGTTCTGTTAGTATTGCAACACCCATGTAGCTGGAAAGAATTTTTACAGAAGGGTAATTTTCAGTCTTAAAAGTGCCACTGGCCAAGCAAGTAGACTTTCTTGAAATCTGCAGAAGGTACAAGAACATAAAATAACACTGATTCTGACTGATGAACATTTCCTAAGGAATTTGTTTTCATGACATGAACTTAATGTATAAGGCTTAAGGAAGTATTTTAAATAGCAGTGAAAACAAAAAATATGAGACCTAAATTACAAAAGCAGAATGGTATTATGACAGTAATGCTGCTGTTATCAGACACTGCTTGCTGATGGACCTTGATGAGAAAACATTGCTCAGAAAAATGCCCCATCAGTGCTGTGATACCATCACATCCCCTGCTCCAGGGCTGAGCCAAAAAAAGCCTGTTCAGTTCTGCATCTCTTACTGCATTTTCCACTGTGATGGATTAGGAAGTAATGAAGAGGATTTCTCAGAGAGTGATTTATTGTTAACCTGATTGTGCGTTTTTTTCTCTATCTATTCTGTATCAGTTGCGCAGACTTATTTGTAAGAAAATGAGACTGAAAATTCATGTGGAGGAAAGCAACAAAGCCAACAGAAAAAATGCCTTGAACTGCTTGTGTCAACTTCTCTCCTGAATTCTCCTGAGGACTCGTGCAGTCTGAAATGTCTGATGCATTGGGAACATGACATCTATTAAGTGGCACAGGAATCCAGTGTGAAGACTGGTTTTGGTAAAACTGAAGGTGACTGAGTTTGGGCTTGGAGAGGGGAGTGGGGTTGTGTGTGTTTAAATAAGGAGTTGATACTGGAGCTTGGCGTACCCCCTTTTCCTAACAGTAGAGGAATTTTTTTTTCTATGGTTTGCTTAACTAAAATAATTTGGTCTTCTCAAGAGTATCTGATAGAGGAATGTGGAAAAAATGTGGTGCCAAAACCAACCTGCATTTACTACACAGCTGAACTTTTAAGTTTTTCAGCTGTTGTTTTCCCATTGTTTTAATGGATCTTACTTCCCTGTAAGCAGAATGGGTTTGCAGGTTTTGGAGGTGTGGAGGTGTATGATAAGGGAATTGAATGGTGTGAACCCTTTGGGACTTATTTCTTTAATACCATGAGCAACTCTATTGCCAATAGGTCTTGCAAGTACACAGGGCACTGTAGTGACTGCTGCACCTGCAGTTACTAGTTTGTAACCCCGAAGGCATCTCCTTCCTTATCCTTTTTATGCAGAATGTTTTTAAACAAATTAGCATCAAGTTTGTTAGATATTAACCACACATCACTTGGGATGTGGCTGTTTAAAAACTGTCTGGTTTACCCTTTATTTTCTGCTATGCTATTTTATAATGTAGAAACATATTTAATATAAATTTTAGTTTCTATTGCAATTTCCTTGTGTTACCTTATAAAGCTATAATTTGAAAGGCAGGTTCTGCAAGAACCATTTGTGTTAAGCTCCTGTGTCTTTTTCCTACTTCACCAAGAGAAAAATTAATGGTATTGTCCTTTCAGATTCAAGAACCTTTTTCAGAGAATGTAGACTCTGCTGGATTTTGCTATCTTCATCTTCTCATTTATCCTTATTTTGTAGCTGTCCCAGTCATAATTTCATAAACCATGTGGTCAAGGCTATAAAGGTAAACAGGAACAGTTTGTATGGATTTTCCTTCCAGGTTTGTGTAAGGATAAAATGGTCACTAGCATTTCCATTCATTTGCAGTTCTAAAGTTCAGAACAAGATCAGCAAACCTGAGGCTAAGCAATAACTGAGGTGCTAATGGGACAAGAGAGAAGGAGAAAGTAGGGGTAAGAATTAAACTGAGTTACACTTTAAATCATGTGCAATTGCAAAACCAGAATCAGAGCTACTGTCTAAGAAACTGCCAGTGCTCCTGGAGCAATGTGTAGGGTCTGTATTTAAAGGATTGTTTCTTTTCAATAGCATTTACAGTTTGTAGACAAGAGTTATGTTCTGTATTATATGGCCAGAGATACACCCATTTCAAACATCATTGTTAAAATATACTAGAAGCAGATCACTGAGCCGTGGCCAGCTGCAGGGCTGCAGGCAACATTTAACAGAAAGGACAAGTGGAGCCACTGCAGTTGGTAACTCCTAGGGCAGCAGTGCAGTAGAAAACCCCAGGTCCTGTAGTACTGCTGGAAGGAGTGGCTGAGGCAGTGTTCTGCACTGCTGCTGAGCTGTGCCCACCTTGCTGCAGTCAGGGCAGTGCTGCAGCCCTGCAGCCAGCACGGGGCTGCTCCAGGGACAAGCACTCCACAGGCCCACCCAAGCCATGGGGGTGTCCTCTGGATCTGCTCCCCTGCCCCCCTGGCACCTCCCCTTGTGTCACAGCAAGGGGAGCAGCAGGAGCAGGGGCTTTGCCCTCTGAAAGCACCTGCCTTTGACAGCAGTGTGGCAACAACTGCTTCTCAGCTGAGCTGCAGCTCCTCGCTATTAGCTTCATTAGCAAAATGTTTAAGGGTCTGTTCTAGAGCTTAAGTGTGTTTTGTGCTGCTAAAAGCAGCACTTCAGTGCTGCAAGGTGGTTCTAGTAGCAGGTCAAATGTTGCCACTACAGTCAGCAGGAGTCTCTTTGCATGTCACTTAGAGTATTTTGGACAGTTTGTTTTTTTTTTTACAAGCATTTGCTTTTTATTATTTTCACCAAAATAAAGCATGTAGCATACAGTGTTTTCACACATTCAGGAGATAAATAAGTGTGTCTCGAATTATTTAATACCATAATAACATATGTAATACAAAGTTATTTCTTCATTGATTTTAATTTAAATACAGCTTGTTTGCCTTTTTTAAAAAACAAACTTTTATTGTGTTACCATATATTTCCCTTGTTAAATGTTTAAATAACAATGGGGAAAAATACAGTGATGTGTATTGCTAGAGATAAAAAGTTGCTCTATTAGGATGAAACCTGTATATCAAGTTACCAACCTGTAAATTAAAAAACCCAACACATTAAATGAATGCTATCACTTGAACCGATAAAGAAAACCTTAAGAGAATAACAAATACTTCACCTCCAATTCGTTTGTAGAATATTAAGAAAATAATCCACTTTTTGTATTTTCACACTGATTGGTATGCATATTAATTTATCTTCTACTTGTTTGCAATTATAAATAAATAGAGGTATAAAGACAAAATCTCATACTGCCGTTCCCTTGAATTTACCAGCTACAGTAGATGCATATTTTAAGATCATAAATACATTCCTATTCAACTTAATCAAATACCACAGGACTAGGTTCATGTGCTTACTTTCATGCTGCATAGCTGAGAAAGGAGAAAATGTGGTGGCACTTGGTATCTTTAATGGCACTTCTTTCAGCAAAGGATAGGATGCATTTGTGTCACTAGCCAGGGTTACCCTTCAAAACAGTCCCTTATAATTGGCTTGAAAAATACATGGAACACTAAGTAAAGCAACAATTCCTGTGCTGTGTGCCAAGCCTTAGCTAATGGTGCAAGGATCATCGTGGCTTGATTTCATTTCCCCTTCCAGCAGCAAAGTGATCACAGCCTTGCTCAAGTAGCTGCACGTTCCCTTTTTTCCAAGTGGGTGGGTGTTGTAGAATGCAGTCATGTCACTCTGCAGAGAGGGAACAGAGGCTGCCATTAGTGTGAATGTGGAAAGCAGCCACACATAGGGAAATAAGAACAACATCAGCTATGTTAAAAATGCAAATGTGCTTTTTGGACTCTAAAACTAGAGAATAATTCTGCTCAATTGTCAGAAATCTCCCATATGTACTTACCTGCATTTATTTCCTCAATGAGTTTTCCAGGACTGCACAGATACCACCTTCTTAACATTTTTTAAAATGTCATAGCTGTCAGAGAACAACTGCTCTCCTAAAACATGCAGCTGTGTGATGCCTGTGTGGTAGAATGGTGAGCCAGGCTTGGGTGTATGTGAGGTGTAAACTGACTGAAGATTTATTTCAAAAGAAAAAATCCAAGGTCCAAACCACAGGTAGCACATGAACTCATTCATTAATCAGATCACCAAAATAGATGTCCTTCACTGAACACCTGTTTTTCACAGTTAGTGACACTAAAAGACCTGCTTACTCTCAAATTATGCATTAGCTGCTCTAAAAATGGTTTAATGCTTTAATTCAGGAAATTGGTTACTTTTATTAAATCAAGGGCAGAGATTGTGTGGAGAAAATAATAAGACTTCTGTAGTTTTAGGGTGTGTCTGAACTTACTAGAATAAATACATTTGATATTTATTACATGTTAACAGGGAATCAGCAAAGTTCAAAATATTTGCAAATCCATTTAATGGAAGACCATAGTTCTGACAAATTAGGAGTTTTTAGCAGTGTTAAGAAACCTTGAGACAGAGCAACCCTAAGAACAATCCCAGACAGGGTTACAGTTACTGCCAGCAGGCATCCACCTGGGAATATGGGAGAGCCAGGTTCCAGAAAATTTTAATGCAAGGAGCTGAATTTCCAACAACAATCTTAGTCACAACTCTAAATCAGGGGGCTCTAAGAGACTAAAATTTTCAAAATTTTTCTTTTCTTTTTCATTAGTCTAAGTAGGTCTGGGCTTGGAGAAGGAAAAACCCATCACTTCAATAGAGGCTAGGGCAGCACCAGTAAAAGCTGGGGTTTTAATTAAATTTTCCTGTTTGTAGCCATTGGGGATTTGCAGCTTGTCACAAAAGTCACTAGCGAATTCCAGGTGCTGTGTGGAGCTGGGACTTGGGAGCCATTTCTGTGGATGATGGGTGGCTTTGCTATGGCCACAGAGTCACTACCCTCCAACCAAAAAGATTCAAAAGGATCATATGGACCAAAAGGATCATAATTTCCAGGAAAATGTGTTATTTTCTAAACAAAGGTATTGTGCAAATTGACAAACTGCTGGGGCTGGCTATCTGGCTTGCTTTCAAATCTTAGTACAAAAAACCAGTGGCAAAAGAGTGAACATTGAAACATTTGAAAGTTCTTAAGCAGCACATCCTTCCTCCTCTTTTAAAGGAACTAAAAATTCAGTAAGAGGAAGAGTTGTTGCATGTCAATGTTATGAATCAATAGAATCTTCAGAGCTAGTAGAGATAACTTCAAATATATTATCCACAATAAAATGCCAGCTGGAGCAAGGAAGATCATCCTCAGTAACTCTGGCACTTGTCTCACCATTTTACTCTTATCTCCTCCTTCAACCAGGCCAATAAACCTGGCTTTATTACAGAATTTCAGAGCTTTAAGCTACCAAAACTTGTAGTGAGAATATTCAGAGATCTTTAAGGCATAAAACCTATAATTTTAGTGAAGAAAATATTAAAAGCGTTTATTCCTTTATTTGAATTTTAGCCAAACTTTTGCCGGTTCATGAATGCAAATCTAACAGTAAAATCAGTAACTAAGAACAGTTCTGTATCTCAGGTTCATACTTTAATACTGTCAATATTAATTCTTTGGTTATCAAATTTTCTTAGTCTCTGTGTACGTAAGATCCTAAGTTCACACTTCCTCACTGAGCTTTAGTTCTTTTTTTTTTAGTTTCAGCTCTTCTCTGTTCTAGTGTCCCTCCTAAAGAATTCTTTCTCCTTTGAGGAGAACTCTTCCAGCTCACTGAGAGTCCCATTTCAGAGCCATGGAACACAGAGTATTCTCCTTACTGTACCATTTTGAATTTACAACTCAGCAATTAAGTGCAACTCTTTCATCTCTGCTTAGAGGCTCTTTGCAGACCTAGGCAGCCCTTGGGTATATTAATTTCTTATTTGTGTTCCATTCTGAACTTCTATCAATTGCTTTTTACTCTGAGCTGCACAGAATTAACATTTAGAAGTAACTTCAATAAGAATGGTAAATTTGGTAAGACAGCAATATTTTACTCACTTGATTTTCAGATCCCTTTGGACTGCTGTGATCTTTCTGAAAGTCATGAAATGCTTCTTGCACCACCTTGTCCAAGTCCACTTTGTCCTGGAACTCTAGCTCAGGATTTCTCTCCAAAATAACAGATATAACCATCAGCAACTAGAAGGCAGAAAAAGATTGTAAGACTTTAAATTTCAATTTTTTAAAATTCAGGTTACATAATAGCACTGCTAGTAATTGCATGTGTCTCTTTCAAGCAGGAAGCTTGAAATAATGGCACAGGTGATAGTGCACAGATAATAGAATTCTGACTTGATAAAAGAATCACTGGAAAAGCAGGCTTTTATGAAAGGTTTCAATTGCTGGTGACTGCCTAGGTAAGAGCATGGTGTAAATGATTGACATTAACATCTAACCTGGCTGGGAGCCAGGAAGTTATTTTCCATTTTATGCCGTTCCCTTTGTGGCTGCACAAATGCTGTGGAGAGAGTGAAAGGCAGCAAACATTGAACCTCAGCATTTGGTGTTCTGAGGCATAATCACAGATGCTAAAATTCTGTTATGACAAAGTTTATCAACACCAAAGAGAACAGTCAGCACTAAAGCTTCAGTTCACCAGAATTTACGTTACTTACATCTGAAAAGGGTTTAAAATAGGAAGGTGAACATGATGAGTGTCCTGTTGTCTGTACTGGTTACCTTGTGTTTGGTACTTGTTATCTTTTAGCAAAAACTGGGAGTGTTCCAGCAACCAGCATGAGCTGTGAGGCAGAATTGGGAGGGGTTTGATGTTCCTGGGGAGGAGCACCAGGGGCACAGCCCTGGGGACTAACAATAAATGCTGCTGCCAGCACAGATGCCAGGTACCAGGGGCAGCTGCTCCTGACCCGTTCTGGAGGCAAACATTGTGTGCAGTGGGGGGCAGGATTCAATCAGCCTCTTGCTGTCCTGTTAGGACGAGGAACACAAGGAAATGGGAAGGTGGCTGATTCAGAAGAGTAAAGCTACTCACTAGACAGCCTCAGCAGAAAGGGAAAGAAGAATGGTTCAGAGGGCAAGCTGGTTATTTTAGAGCAGTTTTCCTCAGCTCTAGGAAATTATTAGGAAAAGACATGGGCTAAGGTCTTGAAGGAAAGCTACACTGGAATTAATAGATTTTTACCTCCTCTGACCTAATTGTATTGCTAGTGTCATTAATATTTTCTGAAGGGGAAGAACATTGTGAACTCACTCTGTTCTGAACATGTAACAGGAACCTGTTTAATCATAAAAATCTATGGAGAAACCTCAGAAGCAAATGTTTATATGGAAAATACTATTTCTTCAAGTATTTAAGTCCAAGTTATTTTTTTGTTTTGTTTTAGGCTGTAACATACTAATGCACACTAGAAAATGTCATTAATTATTGGCCACAGACCTCCACGATGATTTGCCTGTATTGTGGCTGGTCGATGTTTTGCAGCATATCTTCAACTAGGAGGGAGAAATTCATTTCATACATGGTCATATCCGATAAGGTTGGTTGCTGAAAAAGAAATCCTACTTTTATTCAAAGACCATGTGCATTAAATCAAACCCACCCCCAGGCAGAGCCTACTTGCTTGCTGAACAAATAATATTCAACTAAGAAATAATAGTAGGATCAAAAAGGGAGCAGAATTCAGAGTTCATGACTTGGAAAGAATTTGCTACAATTACAATTTTATAAATGTGCTTTAATAGAAATTATTTGCTTTCATTCTGTTCTAATTGTATTTTACTCCAAATGAAACAGAAAACTTGAATTTTTTTTTCCCCCAACTAACAAGCTACTCCAAGTAAAACATGATGGCATAAAATAACCATTAGTGATAAGGAATTTCACCATTACTAATCAGGTGGGACAGCAGTGCCTGAGCCTGTGTGTGGGATTACCTGGGGCAGGAATCTCCCTGCCACGATCAGGCCGTTGGGGGTTCTCTCCAGGATCTGCCACACGCGGTCGTAGAAGCCCGCAGGAGTTCTGTTCAGGGAGCCATCCAGCTGCCTCCTGTTCAGCCAGCTCCTGGGGGCACACAGGGACAGCCTCAGCACAGGCCCTGCACAGCCCTGGCAGTGACCCCAAGGCAGCTGTGCTGCACTCACAGCGCTGTGTGCAGGCTCTGCTCTCTGCCAAGGGGCACCTAAAGCAAACACGGGCTCAGCATGCAGAGATCACAATGTGGTGGGATCTCTTGGGCTGTCTGTGCTTTATAGAGCTGCAGAAGCAGCAGCAACTGTGAAACACATCCTGTGCAGGCCAGTAACAGTAGCAGATCAAATTCATCAGGTCTAATCATATAAGAAAAATGCATTTCAGCAGAATTGTTGAAGGCAGGAGTTTTTCCTGATGATCTGTAGAAAACAAGTGGCCTGCAAATTTAGAAGATTCAACAGAATGGTTTTGTAAAACTAAGGCTTTGAGCAAACTGAGTCATACTCTTTATGAATTACAAATCCTGTTTGCCTTCAGAAGTATTCCAACATTTTACTTAAAACCATCAAGTATGGAATTTAATTTTCCTATTTTTTTCTTCTCCATGTTACTACAGGAATGGGACTTTAGCCAGAATGTTTACGACACCAGCAATGGAACTTGAAGAAGTGGTATGCATGGCTATGAATTAATTGCTAGATTCACAAGACAGATTTAAGTCTTGTGTGGCTGTCCTGAATGTATTTGACAGAGAAGTTACTTAGTTCTTAGCTGCTTTTTGAATTTTAAGTAAAAAAATCAACACACAATTTATTTTCTAGAAAAACTATCATTAAATTACTTCTTTGCAACGTGCCTCATGCCTTTTTGTATTTCTTAGACCTGGTTCTGGTAGGCTGCTTGAAAAGAAAAAAAAAAAAAAAAAAAGGGAAATTCTTTGGTCTGCTTGAACAATGTTATTATATTGTTTTGTAGACCTTTCGCAGCCTGGCTCAAATTAGTTCAGCACTAATAAGTTTGGGGGCTTAGTTTTTGCTCCATTTGTATTGGTAGATTAAAATGACATGCTTAGAATAAAAACACTTCTCTGTAAAGTGACCTGCTCCTGCAGAAACCAGTGTGCTTGATGAAATTACTAAAATATTTTGCATTAAAAAACCTTTACGCTTAAATACTGGAGAAAAGGTGAGAATTCCTTCTGACATACAGCCAGTAAAGAAAACACTGACAACTCCATGCATGGTTTTACACTTAAGTTTCTTAGTGTGGCTTACTCCCAGCTACACCACAAGACAAAGCAGACAGTGTTGGTTTGGTTTTTTTCTGGTTTGGGTTTTTTATTTAAAAGCATAAATGGGAAAAAATTATCACTAAGTGGTGCATTTGCTGAACAGGTTTGAGCTCTAGGTATTTGGGATACACTTTCTGAGCACAAAGGAGATGTTTAAAGTTAACCCTATAAAGCCAGGGCTAAGCCAAGATATAGTGTGGGCTCTTTTCCTTTATAACTGCATTGGATAAACATGGCAAGGTAAGAAAAAATTTCTCATCAATCACTTCTCAATTAAACACTAAATATCAAAAAGTCATGTCTCCTATGACAGTTTAATCTTACTCCCTGTACAGCTCTGTCCTTGGATTAGGATAAAAAAACTTCCATAAAAGCAAAAAGACCAGGGGTGTGGTAAAACTTACAAGTTGTTTTCTTAATAAAAAAAAAAAAAAGTATTTGAAGATGTCAAAAATGCTCTGACCCACCTACATTAATAGGGTTGGGAAGAGAGTCTTGCAAACTGAATAAGCAAAGTGATTTTCAGAACTGCTTGGACCATTAAAAGAACAATGCTCCATTTAAGAAGAGTTTCTTGCAATCTTGTGACCTACATAAATAGAATTAAAAGTGTAATCTGTGGAGTCTGTGCTAGCAAAAATGTCTTCTGTGAAAACTTGCAGAGAGGTTAGTTGTGGAGAGACTGTTAGGGAGGTAAATGGACCATTATCCCTTTCTGTATGACAAATTAATTGGCAGTGAGCTATGGTATCACATTACTGGAGATTTTTTTCCTAAAAACATCACAAAAGTAGGAAAAGCTATCCTCAAAAAGAAAAAAAAATAAAAGGAGGAGGAAAAAAAATAATATTCTGTATTTCCTGGCAGGAAGAAAACTTTTAAAAACAAGTCACTAATGGGCAAGGAAAAATGAGTTAGCAATACTGTACAGGAAGTAGTTAGAAAAGAAGTTAGAAGACTGAAAGTTTTGAAGGATATGCTGGTGAGTTTTTCTACTCAGATAACCCAAAAAAAGGAATCCTCAGCAACTCAAGCAACTCAACCCAAGTGCCCTTCAGTGACCTACCCATTGTGTGTTACAGGCATCATAAGCAGCAGCTGCTGTGGCAGTGCAGGTAAAATCTCTGACAAAAGGTGGTGCTTGAATTGCTTACTGAGATTGACCAAATGCTTCCTAAAGAGCATTAATATTGAATGGAAGATGCTGCAGAGGGGTTGTTCTGCTGTGGTTTTACATGGTAGTGTCAGCACCAACATGAGCAGAGACAGCACCTAAACAGCAAGAACTGATAAGCACAGCCAAAGCTCTGAAAAGCATCTGGGAGATGGAGAACAGAGCCCATGGGACTGAGAGATGAGGCAGTGATTGAAGGAGGGATTATAGATTGGGGAAAAACACAGGTGTGTTTTGAATGAAGCAGGAACATAAACAGCAGGATGTGTGGTGTAATTCCCCTTTGTTGAGAGGAAAAGCCCATCACCCATTCAGTCAAGGACTATGGAAATTATCAGCAGTATTATGTGCCAAAGTTTAACTTAACTAGAATTAAAACCAAGAGGAAGAGTTTTGACTTCTCTCTTACCAATAAAGTTATGTAGAAATACTGCAGTTTTAACTTTTGTCTTGCATACTTGATATGACAATGAATGTTCTTTTTGGCAGCTGGTTACAGATTGGAGAAAAGATTTCAAGTTTCAGGCAGTACCACTATCTTTTAAGAATTCTAGAGAACATCTGCTCTTACTCATATAATAACTCAGAAGAAAGCAGGCCCTGAACAGCAGATAAACTGTTCTTACAAGTTACTGAAGTGGAGGTATTGGGAAATTTTTGGCTCTTTTCCCCACATCAAAAAAATTAATAGTTCACATTGTAGCAGACAGATCTCTTTTCTGTGGCAGTAAAGAGATTTCCACAAAGATAAAGCTGAAAAAGGGAATATGCAATAGAAAAGAAACAATTCTGGAACCTGGGCCCATGTGAAAGAATGAAAAAGTGCATTTTTGCTATGTTCCCTTAAAAAATTACATAACTGATTACAGATGCCTGGTGATTTCAGGTGCACACAGAGCAGTTCAGGAATGGAATGTACTTGAACATTTCTGAATGAAACTGGGAGCCACAGCCCCACACCTCGTTACCTGCCCGGCTGCTGAGGCTGCAGAATGTCCAGCAGGAGCTGCTTCACTTCACTGGGGGACATCTGGTACAAGTCCTTGGCTGGCATATCCCCAGCACGGATTTTCAGTTCATACTTCATAGCATGGATGATCCATCTACATAAGGGGAGGAATATATTTATTCATTAAATACAAAGTTTCCAAATAGGAAAAATAAGTCTAATAAAATAGCTCATAAGAATTCCACACAATGTCAGGACGTGCTTAAAATATCAGACAACTACTCTCCTACTCTTCCTGTTTGATTGGAACATGATATAAGCTGAAAGGGATAATGCAATTAAGAAATGTGTTGTGGACCATGTTTTCCATAGAGAAGATTGATTGGACTACATTCCCTATATTCCATGTTCATTAAGACAAACATTTACCTGCCCTTTGATGTTAAAATTCCTAGTCAGAATTATGCTCTGACTATATATGCATTTTGCTGATGAGTTTTAAAAAGCCATAAAATTTACAGTATTTTACATTTATGAAGACTTCAGGGCTTATTTCTAGTTTAAGCCTTTGAAATTCCTTTTTTCCAGTCTATCACACTTTCTTTTTCTGCTCCTTTTTGAAAAAAAAACTTGATTCAATAAAAATATAGCAACAGTGAAGATTTTTAGCCTGAGGTATCAGAGGAGCAGAATTTGGCAAAGTGTTGAAGGAAAACGCTGAGTTTTATTGTGCACATTATGTAAAACCTGTGCTCCAGCCTCTGATGCAATATCAAAGATGAAATAAGGTACGGGTACATCAGAAGCCAGAAAAGCACAGAATTCAGCCTCTTACCCTCTACACTGGTTCAGTTACTGTAGGCATTGGTAACAAAAGGAAACTGAATTCGTTTTTCTTCAGAGTCCATAACACCTGATCAAGGCTTGGTACATCAGAGCCTTTCTGTGTTTATCTGAAAATGCAGTGAGAGATTTAGGCTATAATCTCCACTGCCACATCCTGGTCATTTCACTGTTTAGCTAACCAGGTGCAGAATGGTTTTGCTTAGGTAAGTCAAGTCACACTCCTTTCTAGGGAGCTCTTAGTAACTCCACAGACTTTGGGGATGCCTGGCCAGCTGATTCAGTGCTGCTTTACATCTGAGCTTTCCAGGCCCATGCACTGCAGGTGCAAGATACCAGGGACTAATAGGGCCCATTACTCTATGTAGAACATGCTACTTTCATTTCATTTAGCAGGTGATGCGAGTCCTTCTTTTGTTACTAAGATTAACAACACAGCTGGCTCAGGAATTCTTTCCCCACCTATGCCTCAGATGTGTCTGTGTGTGAGTCTCTCACTGGTATTTTCTCTTTGCAGGGGCCTACAAGCCACACCAAAATCAAGGGTGGACCTTCTGCTGAGCTCTTCACTGGTAAGAGGTGAATTCAAGTCAGTTGGCTGGGAGTTTTAACATTAATAGGGCTGTCAGAAACTTGATCTATTTCAACATGAAACCCTGAAAACAAATCAATAACAAGACACTAAATCAAATCATTATCAAACTGGAACGGCATTTCTGTGAGAAGGTTAATTTTGCTCACTGGAGTGGGTGATAACACTGAAATAAAGGAAATTGAATCTCTAGCATTAACCTTGGGAGAAAGAAAAAAAAATTGCAAAAAGGATTAGCTACAGAGAATAAGGAAGGGGAGGAAAGAGGAGTAACATGGATCTGTAGAGGGGACAGAAAAGCATTTAAAAGTGCAAAAGGATACTTCCACTTAAATGCAATACAGGCAATTTTTTGTTTTATGATGACTGGAATGTACTGCTAAAGAAGAAATATGAATCTTGTATGCTAGAAAAAGGGCTGCTGGTATCTACCTCCAGTGCTGAAATGCTGTATTTTTCTCTATGGAAAGAAAAAAAAGGAAGATGAAACACTTAAGTTCTGATTCTAAAGCGTGCTCACTGATTCAGTAAATCTCAGTCAGTAGCACCTGGCCTCTTCAAAGAAGTGCTTATTCAAATGCATTTCTCTTCCTAAATGTGAAAAAATTAATTAACTTCTGTGGGTAGCAAAGTAAATGCAGATACCATGGAATGTGCAAACACTCCAGCACAGCCTAGGTCACCTTGTCAAAGAACGAAAGAACAGGTGGGAGGTAAATGATGTTTAACCTTGATTCAAGTTTGTGGTTCTCTGAAGTCTACATTCCCCTGTAATCCCAGAGGGACTTTACTGACCCAATCCGTATCTTCAGCATTCCACTGAAGAGTTCTGGGGAATTGGAGATGATCCAGCCAATATGGATGACAAGTTCCTGCTGCACCACAGCTTCTCTTTCATCTTGTAATCGGCATTTATCATAGATCATGTCCTTAATCACTGCGGGCGATAGGGGGTTAGAAATAACTGCTTCCTCCTGGCCAAAAGCTCCCAGTGTCACCTGTGGTACAGGGAAAGCAATTCAGAGGATAGGGACAGAAAGAAAAGCACTGCAAAGCAATTCAGAAACTAAACTGCATCAACTTTGCTTTGCTTGTTAAATATTTCACAATACAAGGGTAATTTTACGTCAACGGCTGATGCTTGCTAATACTGTTAATTGGATGCTATTGAAGTAATAAACTTCACTAACAACCACACTGAATATGGAATATATTTTTCCAAATTAAAATAAAAATACAAGACCACTGCTTTGGTTATCATCAGGATTGTACATTAGATTTAGACAGTTATATAATTTCATACATTTCGGCTGTGGAACTCAATTAAAATTCAGAATTAAATTTATGGTTTTGTTTTCTTATTTCTACTAGCATGCTAAAAGTCAAAGCCTAAATTTTAAGAAAAGGTATTGCTGATACCAGATTGTTTAACCACAAAAAAGGAATTTTATTAAAATTCTGCTTTGTTTTTAATCTACTGTCAGTAACACAGCAAGACTAGTTTTTCTGGTAAAATAAAGATCATTGTTAAAACATAATCAAGGAAGGGATGTTAGTTTAAAAAGTTGCCAATTGCCTCAAATTATGCTGCATGCAGGTGTAGCATTCCCTACAGCTGAGTAGCGCCAGAAGCACAAACCCAGACCTCAGTTTGGAGTAAGACAACAACATTGCATGTAAGCAGGTATACACATATATATATTTAATAAATAAAACCCCAGAAATATTCCATTTCTATTATTTAGAAGCACCTATTCATGAATTTAATTAAAATTGTTGTACTGCGGAAGAAAAACAATATTCTCCTTAGGAAAGGAAAAAACACTGACAATTAAACTTTCTTTGAAACAGAAAACCCTGCCAGACCCTTTGCTCCGCTGCCACCCACCTATTGTCTTATGCTCAATCACACAGAGAATGATTATTTTCCTTAAAGAAGTCTTTCAAAAGATGCCTTAATACTTCACTCCATCTACTTTTGTCAAGTAAGAGGTCATATAGATAAAATGACAGAAAGATTTGGGTGGGAAGGGACCTCAAAGATCATCTCGTTTCAACTCCAAACCCCGTCCAACCTGAACACTCCCACGGATGGGGCAGCCACAGCTTCTCTAGGCAGCCTGTGCCAGGCCCACCTCACTCTCACAGGGAAGAGTTTCTTCCTAAGATCTTATCTAAACCTGCCTCATTTCATTTCAAAGCAATTCCCTCTTGTCCTATCTCTACATGTCCTTGTCAGAAGTCCCTCTCCAGCTCTACTGGAGCTCCTTCAGGTACTGGACGGTTTCCAAGGTCTCCCTGGAGACCTTAAACCCAAGGAGTTACAGAAATCATGCCCCTTCCTGTCTTCCATAAATGCTGAACTGTCTTTTCAGTCTTATTCTTTCATTAATTAAAAGTATTATTTAATTGCAAATACAATTACTACTCATATCTTTATTTTCTCTGGATTTCTCTTCTTTGGTAAGGTTTTTTAAAGCCATTGCATACTTTTAAAAGAAGCATCAGAGGCCTTCAAAATGAACAAGCCATTTGTTTAGTTTCTGTTATCATTCCTTAATGCAGTTCTGAGGAGCAAAGACTTACCTGCTTGCCCTGAACTAAAACATTAGTAATAGATGGTGCAAGGCTGTCCACTAGTTTACCTAAAAGACTTGCTGCGAAGCGCACAACAGACCTGAGGGCAGAAAACAGAGCAGTCCCACTGCATATCACATGCTAGTTTAATGAATTCAGATAGCAATCTGAAGTCTGCCACAGCAGAATCTCAAAATTAACTCAGTGAAACCATACATTATTTACAAAATGGAATTTGGATCAGATTTTATTCAATCTTCAGTAAGTTTTAATTTTTTAGTTCAGATATAGGTTAATGGATCAAAAATATATTTATTTAGAACTCATTAAACTACCACTTCCATAAAAAGCTTCTTGTTCTCTTCTCGACACCATCTTAAACAAAGGCAGGTAAGAAATGCTAGCTCCTCTTTCATTTCCATTTTCATCATTTTGCAAGATAAATAGATTTTTAAATTACCAAAGTTAAGGAAGAATTAGAAAGATTTTGCAAGAGAAAGTATAACAACACCAAAGCCTTGCTGTGTGTTCCATGCTGAGGTAATATTTTGCATGTGCAGCATGAAAAGAAGAGACTTGTGTCCCCTGCCAGGTTAAAAACAAGCTGTAACTTCTAAGACTACATTTTTCCATAGATGCAATAGATGGTTAAAGATATGAATACATTTAATAATAATTTCCCGACAAATTACAAACCTAACAGACCTGTAATTGAGCTTTTCTAGCATAGGTTTTGAGGCTACTAAGAATCATTTATTCACAGAGATGAGGAATTAGCTGTAATAGTCTATGGTGTTAGTAAAAAACTCAAAACAATTGATGTTGGTTCCTGTGAAAACTGCTACATACTCCTTAAGATCAAGAGCAAAGCATTTCAAAAATGCATTAGCTGATACTATCAAAATGCAAATAAGCAAAAAGAAAAAATATCTCACAGAGCTGCACTTCACATTTCTGGGCACTTTACCTGTTTCCCATGTACCAGTAAAGTAGTAATATGTGGGGTTATAGAAGAAGAAAATTTCTGTGCAAATGCAGCACTGTAGCGCAACACCAACCTATATGTGTGTCACATGGCAATCAGGGAAGAGAAATGAAAAACAGTTTACATATTTTGTTCCTAAAAATGCTTCTGATTTTTATTAATTACAAAAAATACCATCAAGGTATTTTGGTTCTACCTCATTATTGGCAAAGGCCCATTTAACTGTACGTAAAGACAAAAATGAAAAACATATTTATATTTACTGACCTGTTAGGAATAGTTACAGAGTGAGAGAACGGAGTTCAGGACAGGCTTGACTTTGATAAAAAGAAATTAAACTTCTACTGGGATTCAGGGCAAAGAAATTAATAAACAACATGTAAATATCAACCTACTTGCTGAAACCTTTTAAAGTCATTGTGTCGAAGTCAGGCCCAAAGCAAATGACTTCAGGGCAATAAATCTGTGTTAGTGCATCAGCTTAAATGATTTATATCTTATCACCAGCCTTCCTACATAGAGCTATTGACAATATTTTATCATGCCCTGTAAGAAATAAGGATATTAACATTCTTCTCACATTATTTTAATGTAACGAGGCCTGTGTATTGGCAATAGCACTCAGTGCAAAACCAGCCTATTGCTTTTGTATTTTAAAAGATAACAGTAAGAAACTGCTTCTTAATTTTTTAAAGCCTATTAAACCAGACCTTCAGCTGCCATGCACCAATACAACTGTCAGGAAAGCTGCCATTTTCCCTGCTTTAAGTGTGTGAGAATCCAGCCTTACTTTCTATAAACACATTAGGAAAACAAAACTGGTGTAAGCCAGAAGGAACATGATATTTCTATACAAACCAGAGCTTTCTGCTGCCAGCTCGTCTGTAGATTCTTTCAATGTGCTCAGCAACAGTACCTAAAGGCATTGAACAAAGAAAAGAAAAACAAAACACAAGCAAAAAAGATGCAGAGGTTTTCATTTAACAGTAATACGGCAAGTTTGATGAGACCAGTTAATTCTGACTCTGCTATAGTACAGCACTTATCTATTATGCTCTACATCTAAAATTCAGATGCAATCAAGTCCCCTGTCTCCCAATGTATGTTGTTTTGAAAAAGCCAAACCAGATTTCAGCTGAATTTGCTGCTCATGCTGTAGAGACAGCCATAACATCACCTGTTCTTGCAATACACTGGGGAAAATTAATCTACATAGAGATTTGGCCTTTAAAGGTACACCCCATCATAAGGTACATCCTCAACTGCAGAACCTAAAGTTCTTCAACCTCTGTTTTTAGATTTATGTTTTATTGATAGCGTGATTATTAATGTCAGTCTCAGCAGTGTCCATGCAGGGCACTCTTAGTCAGCGACTCAGAGCATTCAATACGAGGTGCATGTTAAAAAGGTTATCATCAGCCACCATTTCATATGGGATGGCACTGAGAGGTCTGCACAAGTTAGCTCTGAACACTCAGAGGCACAACTGCACCTTTTTTGGACCTAGTTGGTTTCAACAGCACTTTTAAGTTCATCATCATGATGCAATGGTTGTAAGTGGTAACACTGCTTGCTTACAGAGGTTAAGGAATCTGCCCTGTTTCTAGAACAAAGAACACAACCTACAAAAGACTAAAGAAAGCTCCTGAGGCTCCCAAAGCCCCACAACACTACAGGTAACTGCTGGAAAAGGCCACTCCAGAGCCTCTATGGGCCTAAAGTGCAGATTGCAACAATGCACTGGGTTATCAGCCTATGTGTTTTATTCCACTTGAGGTGACTGTCCAGTCCTGTGTGCAGTTTCGGGCATCACAACAGAAGAAAGATAGAAAGACATTAGGAAGTATCCAAAGGAGGCACAAGAAGATGGTGAAGGATTTAGCAGGGAAGCCATGTGAGGAGTGGCTGAGGTGGCTTGGCTTGTTGAGCCCAGAGCAGAGGAGACTGAGGAGAGACCTCACTGGGGTCTGCAAGATCCTCACCAGGGCAGCAGAGGGGCAGGACCAGATCTCCTCACTCTGCTGACCAATGACAGGACTCAAGGAAATGGCTGGAGCCGAGTCAGGGGAGGTTCAGGTTGGATATCAGGAAAAGGTTCCTCACCAGAGGGTGGCTGGGCACTGAACAGGCTCCCCAGGGCAGTGGCCATAGCACCAAACCTGGCAGAGCTCAGGAAGCTCTCAGGCACATGGGGGGATTGCTGGGATGTCCTGTGAAGGATGATGATCTTTGTGGCTCCCTTCCAACTCAGAATATCCTACAGATTCTGTGACCTTTTTAATATAGCAATACAGATAGAATGTATGTTTATGTCAACACGACAGCTCTTCTCCACGTGAACCAGCAATTTCATACCAAAATTAAGAAGCAGGCTCTGTAACATGAGGTGGGAAGTCACACTGCTTGATGAATAACTAAGAATATATTATTTGATTTGAATAGCCCTCTTTTTCTGAGGAGTCACATATAAAAAGGCAACTAAAAAGCAATCTTTGGAAAAAAAGACAAAACACCAAACTTTGCAGCAAAAAAATCCCAAAGCCTCAGTAGCCTTTTCAGAATTATATTACAGAATTTAGACCTTGTGCTCTAAAACAAAGCCATAATACAAAACCAGAGCTACACAGATACATTGAATTGAAGTAGGATTACATCAAAGTAGAATAAAAATTCAGTATAAAGCCTCATATAGTTCAGACTATACCAGACATTTAGACTTGTCTTTTGTTTCTGTTTTTTTTGTAAGGTCAAATCCTGTATTTTTTTCTAATATATGCATTCAAAATTACAACCAGATACAGCACTGGCCTACAAACAATCTAAAAGCATTCATATATGCAGCAGCTCATTCCCTACCACACCATCAATTTGCATCTCCTATTAATGCAGAAATTGCTCTAAATGGCAGAGAAAAGAGTCCCACAACTGCTGGCATGCACAGCTATTATTCATGTTCATTGCAACTAAACATACAGCTGCTTTCTCAGAACAATAAAATGGAAGCAGCTCTTACCTTCCTTGGTGATAAAATTCGGCCCTTCCCTTTTAAGCAAAATACTTGAGAGTAACACTTGACTTGCCAGGCAATTGCAGTCCTTAAAACAAAAACAGCAACAACAGAACCATAAATAGCCTTCAGATTGTCACTGAAGCAAATCCAGAAGAGCTATTAAAAAATTCAGGTGAAACCAAAGGGCTTTTTCTTCTTTTTTGTTCAAGGAAAAGTATGCATATTTTATTTTCAAGAGGATTTTACAACTACTCCATACCCTGTGTATGCTGTATCCTTGTCACTGCTGCTTGCAGAGGCTTCTCATGGATCATATTAAGCTGTAATAATTTGACCTTGGAAAAATTTCCTGATTTTTTGTTCTCAGGTCCTTTAATGGTACAGAAATGCTTGTAATGAAATAAGGAACCAAGGAGAACACTTGGTGTGTTTGTATCAGCACTAGATATAGAACATTTACTGGTAGTTTTCCTCTAGCTAGGGGAAACAAGTGGCAGATTGGAACTATCCCTTGAGGCCATCAAGAAGTTCCCAGTCCATCCAAGTGAATACCCACTGCTCAAGTCTGTTGACTTGCAGTTTGTCAATAAAATATCTGTTTTTAGGACACCTGGAAATGGATCCCTCTCAGATGGTCACTTAGCACCAATGATGATTGGGGCAGCTGGGAGAACTGAGAGCCAACAGTTACACATGAAGGGCCAGGAAGTTCTGTGATAAGATAGAGAGGAGGATTCCCTGAGTAGGGAGAGAAATATCAGATATTTCTTGTTATTAGCTGTGTCCCAACACTGATCATGCTGATCTAAGTGGGCTACTGGTAAAAAGAGTATCAGCACAGAATTTCTTATTTCATGAGAATGAAGTTACACTATACTTTTATCAAGTTTCCTTACATTAAGTTTCTGCAGGATCTCATATGTTGACTTGTTTTTCCAGTCATTAATATTTACATCTGGTTGCTGCTCAAGTTCAGAAGCATTGGGAGTACTAGATTGTCTCTTGACTTTTGAATGTTTTGGAAGATCCAGCTCCTCCAAACTCTTAAATACAGGAGCCCTGAAAAATAAGTATTTAATTTCTTCATGGTTCAGAAAATATTCTAATAATCACATAATTCATCACTACTATTTACACATAGCCTTACTCTTCTGTTTCAGTGATGCTTAGGAAGTCCAGTTGTTCAACAACTGCTCCAGATATTAATGTCTGCAATGAAAAATTGAAAACAAATTTTAAAATATGCACATAACTATATAGCTGTCTTTTAATCTCAGTATGTTGCCATACATACTGGTGGTTTCCGTTGAGAAAATAGTTTGTTTATCTACAGTTCCAAACACTTTACACTTTCAGAGTATTTTTGCTCTTTCATGAGGAAAAAGACAGCTTAAAGCAGAAGTCTCTTGGGGCTGCTGTCTCCTTTTTGCTCTGTTCCATTGTTCTTTCTCCCTGTCCAGCTTCATCAAGCACTGCTCACCCTCCAAAGGCAGGGCTGATGAAACCACTTGAGACTGAGGATTTGCATTCCTCAGAGTCCTGCACAGTCCCCATGTTCTGGATCCCAATGCTCATTATTCCAGGGATGGCTGAAGGCCAGGAAGTTTTCCTGTCAGCCCACTGATGTTTCAGGCAAGCACTACAAAGAGCATTCCCACTCTGTATTCATTCCCTAATCCAAGCATGCCTGGCCTAAATTTGCACATCAAATGCAGCTTACCAATACTTGCATCTCAAAAGATTACATAGCTGAAATTCAGTGCAGCATTTATCTGATGTAGCCATTACAATTCATTCACTCAGAATTTATAGGAATTCCCCATTTACCTACTGCAAGAGGAGATGTATTGTACTACAGCATTTTTAAGACTGCTTTTGATGGTTCTCATTAGCTAAATAAAACTGAGTGTGTTTTGTGGACTTTTATATTCCATTTTCATTGTGCATGAGTTGTAGTAAAGCATTGATCTGTTACACTCTGAGATGACAGAATATAAAAACTCTGCTTTGCTTTCTATTACTGGTGCCATTCATTCTTTGCCTTGCACATTTGCTTGAACACATGATGACAATGAAGGTGAAAATCAGAAAAGAGCTACAAAACTTCTGAGCACACAAAATTTTAAATTAAATCAGATTTGGTCTATTTTACAGCAAAAAAAAGAGCTTTCACCCAATTAGAGATCCACATTCTCTCTTAGGCATGTTTAACATGTGCACCTAAATGAAGCAGCTGAATGCAACTGACAAAGATCAATATATATTTTGTTTGAATAAATGAATTATTCAAGAAAACACCAGGAATTAGACATGTCCCTTGTTCTTTCCCCAAATCCTCCCCTATAATGAAACAAGACTGTTAATAAAATGTGCCAACTGTGCAGTAAGACAGAGATTCCAACTCAGCTGCCAGAGCAGGGACAGGGTGTCCCAGCAGGAAAGGCACCCACCACTCTTCTCCATTGGCCTTCAACTCAGACAAACGTTTGTTTGTAGTCTGCCCATGTGCTCTTTTTAATGGCTAACAAGTAAAGTAGTGACTATCACCATCTTAAACCCTTTAAAACAAGTCCTTTTTATATTAGAAAATGAATCTTTCCAGAAGGTCAGTATATATGGAAGGCAAAGTTTACTGCCCAATGGCTGCCCAGTGCTCAGAATAAGGACACAGGTAGACAGAGAAATTTCTTGTCTGATGCATCTTTCTTGCAAGGCAAGAAAGTAATTTCAGTTAAATTTAAAAAAAAAAAAAAAGCAAAAAAACCAACAAACAAACCAAACCACAACAGCAACAACCCTGTAGCCAAATGAAAGGTTTTCCATGTGCAGTAATGGCATTTGCTATAAGAAGAGTCAGTGGTACCAGGAAAGACTACATGACCTACGTGTGAGCAGGAGAAATACATAAACATTTAATGATTCCAAGGATATCTTAAACTATCACAGCTAGAAGCATTTCCTTTCCTGACCCAGCTCTTCTACAAATTAATGATCATCTAGGGAACAAGAAGTCATTAGTCTGTCTTTAGTCTTCTCTCTTATAAGAATAGAATAGTTCAACAGGTGTAAACTAAGATTAACTACCACATAGGAGTATGTAAAATCAACACCTGTCTTGGTAGTTTTCACATTTTAATGAAAGAAGGTTCGTGCTTTAAGATTCATTCAAACAGTAAAGATGTTAAAACTAGATCTTAGTTCTTGTAAAAATTTTAATATATGTGAAGCACCTTTTTTCCCCCTCTGTGATTACCTAACCAAAAGAAATCCCTCAGCACTTGACACCGTGGCTTTATCCTTTGGTAGTAATTTCACAAGATTGTCTAACAAAAAAGACCACTTTCCCTTCTGAAAATCCTCTGTGATGATTATGACTTTCAAAAGACTCATCAAAAGGAATTAAAATAAACCCATGTTTCAGTTGAAAGAAATGGCATCTCTTGTTTGAAAGTACCAAATGTTTTGAGTCTTGACTCCTTACTTTTATGAAATTAAATAAAATCAGAAGTCACATAAACCCCAAAAGTGGTAAGAATACATGTACCAGTATTAGGAGGTAAGAACACCAGTGAGGAGCAACACCTTACCTGTACTCTGTCAACACGAACCTTCACTCCTCCAACAAGTCCCTTTCTAAAGGCTGCCAGCATATCTAATATGGGGCTGAATCTGCTCCCTCTGAAATTTGAAACAAAACTCCATTAATTTTGCACTCAGGTAAACCCCACTCTGCAAATCCTGCTTTTCTCTCTCCCTACCTGATGTTGTCTTCCCGGATCAGCACCACGAACAGGGGCCGGCCGTGCATTTTCCAGTACTGCTTAATGAACTGCAGGGCGTTCTGGGCAAGAGGAACCTCAGTCACAAAACATCCCAAGCACACCAAGCACAGCCTACCACAGCACACAAGTCAATTCTCCTGTTCCTGTTCCTAGACAGCAGAGCACTGAGACCCCTGAAAACCCCAACAGCTTAAAAACACCTCAGCTACTAAAGCAACAACAGATTTCTGCAATAGGCACAAGCTACTCTCAAGCCCTGCTATTTCCTAAGAGTTCTGAAAATAGTCCTAAGCAAATGTATGGATCATGGAGCAAAGCATGAAACAGTGCAGCACTCTAAACACAGGCAATGACCTAGCAAATGTGTGTGGGGATCCAGGGCTTGAATCCCAGCCACTGGGATGGAAGCACCAGGGCCACTTTCTGTGCACTGACATTGATGCTCCAAGCCCAGGGCACGTGGTGGGTGGGCTCTGCACTGCTGCCAACCTTACAGGCAGGGAAAAGCAGCAGGTTTCAATATTTGTGCAAAATCAAGTAGTGTTTCCTCCAGGTAAGGCTTTCATGTATCCTGTAAACACCAGTCTTGTTCCTTTTTTTCAGCCAAGAACATTTGTTCTCCCAAAGAAACAAATGATAATTTGCTTGCTGCCCTACAGCATTTTCAGTCACTTTGGGGGCAGTTTTTTTGGTCACAGACAGATACTACTAGAACTCATATTGGGCTGACAGGATATTTGTCTCAATACACTTTTTAGCTGCAAGTTTATTTTTGTATTATAATAATACACACTGTACTGTGTTCCCCTTTCAGTCTTCTGATTTATCAGAATGCACAGTTTACTCTTCTACAGACTGTTTTTGTCAGTTACTCAAATGAAAAGTTACAAATACCTTAATGTCATCAATCAACATCATAACATCCTGAGACATGTAGAAATCACTGAGATCAAAAATGATTGAGTAGCAAACTACAGTCTTCCCTAGTATTCGATAAATCTGTTGAGAGAGAAAACTTCCATTAATCTTTTCTTTAAAACATTAATCAGAGCCAAATATAAGGACTTGAAAGTCATTAAATATGCATAAAATAACATTACATTTCAATTATAGTAAAAATCACATAGACTAAATATTTATCTGCAATATTTATTAATAATGAGAATATAAACTTTTCTTGTAACAACCTTTGATGTTCCAAGGCATCCTATGGGTCTGTCTGGTCTTCCAGATAATCCCAATTTCTCATTGACTCCCAAATGGAAGTAAGCCTGTGAGAAAGAATCATGAAAACTGATAAAAACCTAGATACCAGCCTTTCTCATGCTCCTGCCACATCTCACAAAGAAGCCTGTGTACAGTCTGCTTTGATAAGGAAATTATTCAGAAAATGTGGCTGTTATTGCTATTCAGGGTTGGGTTTTCTAAAAAGCACTTGCTGCTTCCTATATTAAGTCTTCTTTTTAACTTCTTGCTCCTATTACTTTTCTATTCTATGTAAGTAAAATATTTATTGATTTTTCAAATTGCTTATTGAAATAATTTTTAAAGGATCATTTGCATTTATTGACTAGCCAAATTTGCCTTCTGCAGTGCTTTTCCAGAGTGGATACAAAAGTAAAAGAGTAATATAGGAACCCTTTAAAGATCTTTGTACCAATCTGTAAAATGAATGCATCAGCAACACAAGCAAGAGGGAATTATCTCATTATTCCCAGCTTGATTCTTATTAGAGTTATTTATGCCTATCATTCAACTGATACAATTTTGCAAAAATAATCTTCATTTATTACATTGTATGAGTATGAAACCATAAGAAAACAACTAATCTGTGAGCAATACAGTATACATATATCAGTTAAACCTGACTGAAAGATGTAATTTTTCCTTACTTGGCCTGTTTTAGGTATGGAACCCACCATTACTGCAGAATATTCAGAATTCTGAACATTTTCCAAAGTTAAATGTTTCTTTGTGTTATAGGAAGATAATTCAGAAGCAAATCAAAGCAAACACTTGAACAAACATTACACTCAATAGCTTTCTATTGCTGTCAGCTTGGGGCCTTCCTGATCCTGCCCATGTTTCTGCACTAATACCAAGAGCTATTTAAAAAGAAAATAAACAAAATTACCTACATGACCAGTTCATCCAGAGTAAGGAACTGTATTCAAATGGGGAAGGATGGAGCCATCAGAACACTGACTGCCTTCAATAACCCATCTGTGCATAACAAAGCCAAACAATGCTGAACTTCCGTTTGTCTAAGTAAGGGAGACTGGAAGAATGGCAGTAGCCAGGGCCATTTAATACTAAAAGGACCTTCATTTTGCTGGAATGCAGAACATGAAATGCTTTCTTAACAAAAGCAGAACTGCATTAGCATTGTAATATTGTCTGTTTCCTTGAGGACTCTCTAGCTTGAGGTCCCATGTTGACACACAGGCTACTAAAGCAGTTTCCTCCTCTAGTGAGAGTTCTCCATCCTGATCTGTTACAATCAAAGCTCAGATGCAGCACCAGGCATAATTCATTCAAGTCCAGCTGCTCCATGTACCTTTGGGTTTTTTTACTAAAAAGCCCTTCAATTGTGGATTATTAAGCTGCTAATAGCAAGAAATGGCTGTGAAAGCAGACTGGGCTGTTGGGTTGATTTATGAGCATGATGCAAAATGCAGTGGTCTTGCACACCATCTGTTTCTGTGCTCCCTCTTCTCCTCTCAGTCCATGCCCAGGGGTGTTCTGCTCCTCTCCTGTGCTGTACTTCCACTCCAGATGTACTTTTTTTCTTATGTATTACGTGTATTTTGTCCCATTTTATTGTGTATATCTTCCTTCTCTTTTTTTTCTTCTCTTTTCCCCACTGCCCCCACTTTGTGAATATCTTTACCTGACTTCAAGTTCTACTTTCAATACCCATCCATTTGTTTTACAGCACTTTTTTGGACATGTATGTTAATAAGTCTAGAGATTTAAACTGTTATCATGGGCTGCTAGAGCAGTTTAAAAGTTTCTGATTAAATTAAATACTCCTTAGAATTGACAGAATCAGAGTAGGAAATATTGAGATCCATCTTTTCCATGGATCAACCTTCCATTCCCCAAAATACATTGACTGTTCCATTGTTGGCTTCCTTTCCCCTCAAAGGATGACAAATACTACCAGGAGCTTTTGTTTGTTTGCTTTTTGGTTCATTTTGGTTATTGGCATAAGCTTAAGATCAAACCCAAGTTCTCATAACACCCCAAATACTTTCTTCACAGCTCTGGCAGAGCCTTTATTAGAAGTCCATTAAGAAGAGGTTTTGTATCAGGTGAATTAATATTTTCATGGCACTCCTTTAAAAAGTAAGTTTGGATGAGGCAACTGTACTTACCAATCATAAGGATAAAGGAAGTGTCAGAATTGCCAGATGTCTCAACAGCTTTAGAAAAACAAATCTTAACACAGACTTTTTCATAGATAGAAATTTAATTCATAAAAATAAAACTTAATGAAGGTCTCATCTTTTTGTCTGGGAAACCAAATAAGTGATAGATGACAGAGAGACAATACATACCTCTATAGTAAAGTTATGGAGTATTCATTTGTTAAACCAAAGTTTCAGGACAGAATTTCAGGACAGATACAGACAAAGAGAACATTTTGGAATATATTATCATGAAAGCTGAGTAAAAACGGGTTCAGAAATGAACAAGGATGAATGGAAATACGGATTTTTCTCCTCTCTCTGTTTTAGTCCTTCTCAGGTGTTAGTGGCAGCCATTATTTGGGGTAAGCATTTTTCTGAACAAGCCACAGCCAGGTTTAGCATATCCTTCATCCTCACAAACTTAAGAAACCCAGAAGATGTTGCTATATTCTCTATTTTTGGGCTTACTTTTTTTCTTGTGTCCTCCAGACTCCTGATACAGATCATGGCATTGGCTGTGTGACCTGATTTCTGAGGGAGAGCCCTACACAGTGATCTGTTCTACAGCTGGGACCTCGGGGCTGACAAACAGAATTTGTCACTGCACTGCCCCAGACATTCATCACTCTCTGTGAGACCATTTGCACTACACAGGGTCAGACAGGAGCTTTGTGTCTGATCTACAACCAGGGCTAGCAGGGCCAGCCTAGGCCTGGAAGGATGTGGCTGTCCCTCAGGAGACTCCTTGCCCCAGTAGAAAACAGAGCCTTCAGGGAGGATGAAAGGGGATGCTGAAGATGATCCTTCATCCCAGTAATTTCTAACTGTGGCATGTTAAATGAGCACAGCTAAAGAGGTAAACCAAAAAGGATTTCAAACCCAGAACCTCCTAGATATAGTCAATCCAAGGGAAAACAGTGACAGAGATGTGGATATTGCTTATTACAGAGGCTGCACTATGAAATCCTATGATGGTTTATGCCTACTGCCTTAATCAATTTCTTTGACTATTGCTCATGTGCTTGTTTCTCCATCAAGGTTTATTCAGTTTACCAAGCTACTAATGTTATTAAAATTTTATTATTCATTCATTATACTTTGAAAGTGGCTCAGGCAATAAGGCTAATCAGATAATACAGAACATGTGGGCTCCTACATTGCCCTGAAAGCTACAGACATCTGTAACTTCCAGTGCCAGCACACCTTGCAACTGCATTAGGAGGACAAAAATATGCAGATAACAGCTTAGGGCTGTTAGATACAAGACTAATAGCTTGATATAAATCATTATTTTTATAAAAGAAATACACAGATGGATAAATAATTTTAAATGCAGAAATCCTTACTTTGACAAGTTCTTTCTGAGCCCATATCTGAATTGGTTCCACCTGCTGGGGGGTCTGAGTTTGGATTCCATATGTGTTCAGAAAAACTTGCAGGCTACAAATGAAATACAGATACATGTAATGACAAATCACAGAATAGTGTTAATAATTCTCTTGGCAGCAGATGAATACAAGTAGCAGCATTTTATTCTACACCATTTCAGATACATTGTTCAATCCTTCCTTAATACATAGGTACTCAACAGAAGTAAATACATACCGCTGGCTTTCTGCTATCAGGGCCACATGTACCACCAAATCATTTTCTAAAGGACCCTGCAAAATAATGACAAAATCGTTACTGGCATTGCTACCTAAAGATTTTATTCAATATAGCATGACCAAGGACAATGGCTATTCAAACAATCCACAACTATGACAGCACTGTCTGCATTGCTTTTTCTTATGGTGTGAGCAAATTGAAAGATTTATAAATCTTACGACTACAGGAAGCTTGTCCTACCAATAATACTCTGCAAGAGACATTTTGGAGAATTAGTAATAAACAGATTTCTGGTAACCATTACACTGTTTGGATTAATTTGGGATACAAAAATTTAGAATTTATCCAATCAATATATCACCTATATACCTGATACGACCTAATGTTTTGATACATATTTTTGTAATGAGTAAAATTATTCAGCTTTTTGGGTAAACAATAAAATTCACTTAGAAGTAATGGCCTGATGATTTCAAATCTTTACTCTGAAAAATTGTCATCACACAACTCTCTAGTGACATGAAAGACATACTACATTTTACTGGAGACAGCGGCATTTCCTTGTACTGTTTATTACACAGACATTTCATGCTTGAAATAAATACCAGTATTTTACATCAGGAAACCATGCAAATAGGCGTGAATTCAACATGTTGGGTGAAATAATTGACTTGGCTCCCTGGGTCTCAATCTGGCAATTCACCTTTGCTATGTCTGGCAGAATGAGCTATGAACAACCCTCAAGTCCTTGTTCACTCCTCTGGCATTCGCTGACTGTAAACACAACTAAGAGCAGCTCACATTTTCATTGACAAAATGCTTTTGTCTTTTTTTGTCTAGAAACTACCAGAACATGAATGACAGAGTTAAACACATCTTCTATCGATTGCATAAAAGGACAGCACTTTTTGTGATGATAGAGGGATAGACATTGATTTAGAATGAGAAGTTCAGAGGGAACGCTTGCTTGCTCAGGCAGCTGTGAGCTGTGAGCCTTCCTATCAATAAAGATCTTAGAGATTTGCAGAAGAAATTCTTGGTAACTTTTTCCCAGAAGTCTCTCAGCACTACATTTGCACTAAAAATTTTGGACTTTTTGCCACATTAAGTAAGTTTCTGATGAAAGTATGTGTACAAAGGAACTAGATGAAACAGTCAGAAGTTCAAGTGGCATTAGATTTTCCTGCTCAGAATAAGATCATTGTGCTATCACTTGTATTTATAGAAAAAGTAGGAAAACTCAATCCAAAACTCAGCCATAATCATGGTGTATAAAACAAAAAGCAAAAGCCCCCCCACCCCCCTCCAAATCTGAAAATGAGAGAGCCCTTCCAAGACAAATGATTTGTAGACAGCCTGTGATGTAACCTGGGCAGTGGTCTTGGAGTTAAGACTCAGTTGTTAACCTCTCAATGAAGAACTGAGCAGGACTGTGTGACCATAGCCTGTAAATTGTACACAACCCATAAATTCTGCCTCTCACACACAGCCAAGGACAGGATACATTTACAGCAGCCAACAAATGGTGGTTCTAACACAGGCCAGAACTACATCAATGCAGCTACAGCACAACTGGCACAACACAAAATTTGTGTGAAAAACTACTCGACCTTTCGAATATTGTAGAAAAAATGTATCATTGCACTACAACTACAGGGTTGCTGCAACATTAAACAGAGAGTTACTGTTACTGTAACTTGACATGTCAGAGCCTGGAGGATCACAAGTAATGACCTAGAGAAACACAGATCGAAATAATAGATAAAACACTCAAAAACAGGAAGTCACCCTTTCCAGTGATGATTGTGCTATATATTGTTTGATGTAAATTTAAAAAAAAAGAGGTATTGAAAAGCATTAAACTGCTAAATATTTCACTAAATAAATCTTGTTGTTAAAAATTCTATTTTAACGTCCTGGCTTTCTCATTTGTCTAATAAGGCCAGCTCAGGTATTGTTCCCACAACATCCATCACTGTCTCCCCAAGACACCAGAACAGCCCCCCTGCCCAGGCTCCCCCTCCTGCCTTGTGCTGCCACCTTGGATCCTTGGCAGAAGGGTTGGTTTCAGCTGTATTCTGCATGCTGTGCAGATGATAAATATACTTCAGAAGAACAAGATAAAAGACTGATTAGTTGTTCTTCCTCTCCAAAAATGAGACTGAAAAAAAAAATCCCGGCTTTTAACAAGGTTATAAACTGCTGGAGGTAGGATAAAGGGAAAAATCCCTGACTCCATTCCTGGCACAAGCAGAGAAAGCAGCTCAGCATCAGCCTCTCACTGCACAGATGTTATCACTGTTCCTTTCTGCTTACACTGCCAGGAAACCTCAGAACTCTGAAAAAAGCCCATTTATAGAGCATGTGAGAAAGGGGCAGAGCACTGGAGAGCCCTGATGGAAATGGCACCCACTGGGCTTCCCGAGCACACAGAGCCAGGGAGGGAAATGGGAACAGCTCACATCAGGACAGGGTGCAGTACCCTGGCTGCTGCTGAGCCACAAGATACTGTCCCAGGGCTGCCTGGCAGCACTGACCCCTGCTGACCACCCTGTGCCCACTGGCACTGAGCTCCTGGCAGCACTGACCACTGCTGACCACCCTGTGCCCACTGGCACTGAGCTCCTGGCAGCACTGACCACTGCTGACCACCCTGTGCCCACTGGCACACCAGCCCCCTGAAATCAAACACAGCACACATATGTGCCTCAAATTCCAAAACAGCATTTGGCAGGTGTAGAACTGTGTTAAACTGTAGTAGACAATTGTATTAAACAGAATGAAAGCAAGAACATGTTTACAATTAACATGACAAAACAAATCATCCAATATGGCTCCATCCAAATTAGACATGTTCTAATCTTAGACATAAAAATCTTAAAATAAGTCAGTCTATCTACAAGTAATAATTTTAGTTCCTTCTTCATGTTATCTATTTTCCTGAATAAATAAAAAAAAGAAGCAGTCTATTAATTTGACTATTCTCTTCTCAATTCTCTTCATCAATAGGCTTTACTCTTAATTCCCAGTACCTGAAATGAATTTTTTTCAAATTATTATTAACTCTACACAGCAAAACATTAAAAAAATACAGTCATCACATGCAGAGAATCCAGTTAATTGATTGTAACCCTAAACACATATTTCAACTAAACTCAGAACATAAAATAATCCTACTCTGGCAATTTAGTCAGATTATGATTTTTTATTAAAGATTAAATTAAACATAAGACAGCAATAAATCAGCTTTCACATGTGTGAGTAAAATGCAAAACAATTCCAGAAAACCTCCACCCTACCTCACTTCCCAAATGTTATTGTCACCATTCAGGCCCTCTTCTACACTACATCCTTCCAAAACAGAATGCAACAACCCAAACTGAGTTAGAATCTCTCCTGAATCTGGAGGCAGTAAAGAGGAGTCACAAAAGAAGTTCTTCTAAGGACTCCAGTTCCAAAAAGTCCCCCAAACCAGAATTCCCTGCAGTATCTCCTTTCAAAGTAAAGAGAATAGGGATGATTCCTTTCTTTTGAACTCCTGAATGGGGTCTACACTGACCATTGGGATTGCAGAGCAGGGGAGGAAGAACCCCTCTGACTGCTGCTGGACTTCAGTGTGCTCTGGAACACAGACTGAGCCCAGCAAACACAGCCCTGCTCCAGCACCACGCTGGCACTTCCCCAAGAAAGAACATATGGACACAGCCTCCTCAAAGTGGAAAAGAACAGCTTGTGGCATTGAATTAGGTGAAAAAACATTTCCTTCAAACTATAAACAGACAAAATTGTACTAGTAGCCATTATGTTTTTACTGTACTGCTATTTGATGCCTCAGTTTTCTACAAGCAATGAGATTGTCTTTGATCTGATTTTCTGATGCACTCCCAACTGTAATTATCACAGTTACATATACAGTTTTCATAGCAGTTTCACCTTTGGAGGTCTGTATTACCTTACTTTCCTTTACCTAACTGATGCTTTACCATAATTGACTTACCTTTACCATTGATGCTTCTAAGCTGTAAAACTAAGGTTGGAATATTTGAAATACTTTCCATTGCTTGCTGAAATCCGCACTATTATGTGGGAATCAGATATATTTTTGTAGTGGCACCAAAGCCACAAATATATTAAACTAATCACATTTTTCAGTGGTATGTGTTTAGAGTTTATAATCAATGCAATGAAAACATGCCTACATGGAAAACACATTTTTTGAAGAAATATTTACTTAGCACAGAGCTTCAAATAAAAATTTAAAAAGCTGCCTTTTTGGTACATCTCCTTTCAAAACACAGTATCACAACAAAATTTATATACACAGGCCTCTGAAATGTTTACATATCCTTGTTTATTGCTTACAGGAATAAAATTTAATACATATGGAAATAGTTTTCTGTTCAATTTAACGGAATAATTCTTTAGCTATATTGAAAAGAGAAGACCACTAAAGAGAAGAAACTACTTTTGATTTCTAAAGACATCATTAAGATGTGCTGTGTTCTCATTTTGTATGGTATTTTTAGTCATTTTTCCTGCACTTTAAGGCAAATACTGATACTGATTTTGCATAAATTAGCTCAATTAGATAAAATGGCATAATCAAATATTCAGACAAACTGGTTAAGCAAAACCAAAACGTGGATTAAAAAAGCCAAACTCAAGATTCTTGTCTTGAACTTGAAGACCTTTGCTGGTACAGCTCTCCTGAGTCATGTCTGAGCATCTTTAACCTTCTCTTAACAACGACCCATTTGACATCTGCATGAAGGAACATTTTGCCCTGATACTGTAGCAGTAAAACCACCCAAAATACTGCAGCAGCTGTTTCAGTACAAACAATCCCAAAGAAATCCCACAAGCACCTGGTGACCTTACAGGGACATGAGCCCTTCTGGTCACATTTCCACACTGCTGCTCAGAGGCTGCAATGCCAAAGGCCTGATGCCACAGTCTCCATTTCCCACTAGTTCAAAAGGGCATCCCTTCCTTTTAACCCACACTGGGTACCACATCTTGGATAGCTTTTGCATTTACATATCAAAGAAACACATGCACAGTCATCTGTGGCGAAGGAGTATCACTACTGGGAAGAGCAGAGCTATAAGCAGACCTAGGCACGTCCAGAATTTCCTTCCTTCTTCATGCTCTGTCTGAAGATGAAGTAAAATATCAAAATGCAGCTGTTATTCTCAATTCATTCAACACTGTTGACTTTTAAAGTCCCTACTGCATTGCTGAATTTTACTGGGTAGCTGCATTTTACTAAGTTCTTTAGTGACTCACTAAGTGGCCCTCAATGTCTAAGTTGTGAGAAAATGAATTATCATTGCATTATTTATTATTGCTTTTGGGAAGCTCTCAGAGCAGAGGCTATTTCTCTCTGAAGATCTGGAAACTGCCTATCACATACTGGGTACCCCAAATAGTAGTAAAAATGCTTTTCTACTAAGACACTTCCTGATGAGTCGTAGAGTGCCTTTAGAACAAAGCCTCATCATCTTCCAAGTGCTCAGCTGTGGCATATTAAAACTGACTCGTTTGAAGAACCAAAGCAAGAGGATTCAGATGGGCTGCAGCAACCCTGACTCAACACAGGCCCCTCCTGAGGGCACCCCAAAAGGGCCAGCAGCTCCCAGGGTCTGTCACATTCATAATCCCATGATATAAAAATAAAGAAACCAGAACAAATGACATCACTGAGCTTTCATTATCTCACAGGAACATGGCAAGTGCTGCACTGTGGACAATGAAAGTCTCATTAGGAATGAACCAACAGGCAGGCACATGGATTACCTTGGTAACAGGAAATAGGAGCAAACTGAGGGGATTAGCAGCATTTGGATAGAACAAGAAAAACATTGTTCAGTTCTGAACTTAGAGTGAATCTTAAGGTAAATACTTCATCTCTTATGCTTCAGTAACAAATTCACAATGCTGAACAAGGAACTTCTTAAATACATGCCTTATACAAGAAATAAAAAGGCTGAAACACATCTTTGAGCTACACATTTCCATACACACAGTTCTTACCTCTTTAAAGGAGTTCCCTACATACAGACATGTGCATATTTTGCTGTCCCATTCACTACAGATTTGAATTACCATGTTTCAAGCATTCCCCATCCCTGGTCACTCATTCCTACTGTGCATTTAATCCAAATACAGGAGCACATGGAATCACAGAATAATTATAGGGCCTTTACAGTCATCAAGTCCAACCATTGAGCCAGCACTCCTAAACCCACACTGAACCCTGTACCTAAATGCCACATCTGCACATCTTCATTGAGCCAGCACTCCTAAACCCACACTGAACCCTGTCCCTAAATGCCACATCTGCACATCTTTTATACCTTCAGGGATGCTGTATAAAACATACCAAAAAAAAAAACCAAAACCCACCAAAAAAAAAAAAAAACCAAAACCAAAAAAAACCTAATTCTTGTAGCTCTTAGGAGCAATAAATATAAAAAATATTAATATATTGCAGTTGAAATTACTTCAATGGAATAAGAAAAGCACATTCATTCTTGCCTTCCTGACATAACTTAAAACTCAAGACACGTACCTGCTTATTAAGAGTTATTCATATTTACATTTTATCTATCACTTTGTCTGCATCACTTAATTTGAAGGCAGATGTGCATCACTTCCTCAAAACTGAAGATGTTATAATTTCCTTTTAAAAGCAATCCTCCATCAATTCAGAAAATGTACACACATTGAAGATTTTCCTTACACTTTAGCTGCAAGATTAGAGGACCATACACAGCACTCAGATGACAACTTTTCAATAAAAATATAGCAATACTAAGCTAATGCTTACCTGGTTTGAGAACCTCATGCTGACGTTGCGCTGGTCCTGGGGAGGTACATACCGGCCAATAGGGTCGAGATCCTTAGGACTCACTAATTTATCAGCTGAAAAAAATGAGAATAGAAATACAGAATGACTTGAGCACTTTCTGCAGCTTTTGTGAAGAAGCCATACCAACTTTTGTGTTGTAGTTGGTTCTGCTTTGTTTTAGATCAATGACTTATAAAAGCATATTCTGAAAATCTCAGAATTATATTAATTTTAAAATGAATGACTCAAGCTTTGTTCTTGCTACAGCTAATTACAGCAGTGTAGCATAAAAACCCAAGCCTTTATTTGCTCACAAAGATATGTTAATAGATTATATGCAGACAACAGACTCCACAACACAAGTCACTTAAAAAGCCCTTAATCCATAACCATGGAACTATTCTAGAGCTTTAACTATAAACTCAATGACCAGCAAAAATTCTTTAGCTTTGCAGAAAAGCAGACGGCCTCTATCTCAAGGTAATTACATGACTGGAATCCCGTAAAGAGCAAGAGATATCAAAGGTACCTCTCAATAGGGTAATTCAGGAAGAAATTGTGAAAAAAACCTAATTAAAAATATTTGAAATCTAGCAGTTTCTACATGGAGTTTTTTTACATGGGCAGGAAAAACCCCACCAAACCTAAAACCGCAGTATTTTCACCTTCTCCTGAAAAAGCACTCCAATAAAAATACACTATTAAAAACTTTCAACAAATTCCTTGAATAGAGGTTTATTATCTAGTATGAGCTATTATACCTTTAAAATAAGCTTTCTCCTGCCAAAATTGTATTTTGACAGGAAACTGTCCAAACTCGATCTAATTTCTAACGCAGAGTAAGTCACAATACATTTTCATTTCTTCTATCTCAAAGTCAACAATTTTGTAGATATTCTTAAGAGCCCAAACAGAAGGGAATAAGGCATTAATTTAAACCAGAAGTGACTCATGGCTGCACTCATCTCTGAGAGAAAACCAACATTGCCTTGATGAGAATGTGTCTGAGCACTACACCATGGAGTAAATGAAGGCAGCAGCTTAAACTCGAAATCTGCCTTGCCTGGAGGCTGCCTGGGCTAGGCCAGCTCAGAGCGATGGGGCAGTGGGGAGCAAACCCTGGGCAGCACTGAGGGGCCCTGGCTGGGCAGGACAGGGAAGCCCTGCTGGAGCCTTCTGCTGCAGAGAGCTCTGCCAGCCCTGGATGCTGGTCCTCAGCTCCTGCTGGCACCAGCCAGGCTGACTGCAGCCAGGAAAGGAGCCTGCTCCTGGCTCTGCAGCGCTCCTGCAGGGCCACCTTCCATGGACACGAAGCTGAGCAGAGCCAGATGACAAAAGATCACTATGGACAGCTGATGAACAGACTGACATGAGTTACCAAAGCAGATCTGAGCAAAGCACTCATCTAAGCTCCAGTCCACACAGAATTCTTATGCTAGCTAAAGCAATGGAAGCTACTTGAATTATATGAAGTAGTGCTAATGCAATAAAATGAATTAACCAAATGATTTTAAGATCAATGGGCTCTGCCTCATAGTCTCAAAAACAAGAGAGGTTTCCAGAAATTCCCACTAGTTTTAACACTGATTTACATTGCTCAGTAATTAAAATATATGGTAGGAATAATTTAATATTTAAAAGAACTGTATCAATAGACTAATATAAAACTTAAGCTAACTGCTAGTGAATATTCATCACCATTATCAAAAGTACAAATGTATTGGACTGCAAAAGCAGATTCCTTTGTTAGCTCCCTATCTGCATCAGCAGCAGCTGACAGCATTTAATCCATTTGATCTATAGAAATATTGCTAAAATTCTTAGTTCTAGGCAGCATTGAATCCACAGAACAAGATACAAGAATTCTAAGAAAAAACAAAGGAAAGTGAGCTACTAAAAAAAAGACTGAGTGAATTTTCAGTTGCATGAAACAGCTGAATACCTAGGACTCCTTTCCCTTGCTCCAAAATGGGGACTTTAACATAAAGGTTTTACAAGCCTCCTCATCCAAAGCAAGAAGGAAATTCTGAAAAACAGCATCACCACCTGCAAAACACATGCTTTTTTCCTTCATAAACAAGAGCTGTATAAATGTACCCTCCAACAAGCACTTTCACTGCCTCTGTTACTCAGCATTTGTAAGCAGGATCAAAATTTTGACTTCCCTATTTCTGTTTGCCCCTCTGTGGGAGGGTAAGAATTGACTCAGGTTCATGTTGCTGCATTTAGAAATATTTGGGCCTCAAAAGGCAGAGCCCAAGCCCAGAGACAGCAGTAGGGGCTACACAGCAGGAGCAAGGAGGCTGAACAAACACAAATTAATTGATACCCTGGAGGCAACACAATGATTTCTGAATGGATAATGAAATGGAAAACCAATACCTTCCCAGATATCAAAAGTATTTGGACCCAGGCTTCCACTTAATTAGCAACCTCCAACAAGAAAAGTAAGACACACAAACACTTTCACCAAGGACAAGATTATTATTCAGGTAGGTTTTCACCAGTAAGGAGCAAAATTGAATGCACCAACTCTAAATTAGTAGGACTAAATGGAGTTCCTGATATAACAATCTTTGATGAACCCATTGCTCTGATGAACACAGTCCTGTTTGCAAGGACTACAAGAGAAGCAGGAAAAAATTACTCAGTTTTGAATATTTTGAAAAAAAAATTTAAAAATAAGTAAAATAAAAAAGCAGTGTGTAAGAATGTTCAGCAAAGAACTGAAACACAAGAATATTTATGTTACACAAACAATAGCTAGCAAACCATAAATAGAACTTATTTAACCAGCATTCCACAGGTACAGAAACACACAAATATCAGTATGAGATCAATACTAGCAGAACTACTACAGCAACCTACACACACACACACACTGGAGGATTACTTGGCTAATACTCTTGTAAGATAAATTATTTTTTTTATTAATAGTGAGATTGCCTGCATTTACTGTGAAGTGTTGGCTAAAAGCAGAATTTTGCAAGGAATACAGCAAAACCAAACAGGTGGAACACCAGACAGACTCTGTCCCTCTATACCGAAAGATACATCCACTGTTCTTGCCAACTGCTGAATTTTTTAACTCCTCTTCAATTTTTCTTATTTTTATTACCAACAGCCTGATTCCCTTCTGTGTTAACAGAAAAATGGTTTCCAAAACTCCATCTACTGATTACTAGGTAACTGCTGATCATGTTAAAATAAAGTAATATATCTTTCTCTTGAAAGAAATACTAATGAAAAAACCCAGCTGTGAAGATTTTTCTGGATTAACCATTCTTTTTTCATTAGCCTATAAAATCATTCCAAGTGAGACTGAGAGTTTGTTTTTGACTGCAATTCACCATAACAACCTTCAATGGTCAAACTCTGACATGCACATTCAATTGCTCATACAATTGAAAAAGGGTAAAAATAACACAAACAAATGAATCATTAACGTTCTCTGAGATTGCAACTACTAAAGTTTCAACTTGTCTTGCTTAAGTAGTCAATAATTTGAATTAAATGCTATAAATAATTTGCAAACATCACTGTACAGGTGAAGCTGATACAGTTAACCCAGAAAGTATCACACTAATATATTCTGTCATGAAGAAAAGGAAATTGGAGCGAAAGCCAGAAAAAAAAAAAAATGCCATCATGTTTAGCTTTTCAGTACTCTATGAAATATTCCACTAAGCTTTATAGTATGCAGCATAAAAAGACTGCAAAGCAATTTTTGTCTGTCACGATGTACCAGAGCAGAGGATGTACAGGCCACTCAAGGCCCATTCCAAACTCAAGGCAATGCTGGTTAGGATTCAGGAGGAACACGGTCAGGACAGAAGCTGCAGGGGCCCAGCTCTCACCCAGCAGCTTGGCAATGATGTACATGGCCTGGCCCCACAGGAACAGCTTCCCATCCCGCCCGTTGTTACTGGGGAACCGCCGCTGGCTGCCCGGGCTCCTCTTCTCCAGCTCCACAAAGTCAGCAGGCACGTAGTAATACTTGGGGACAACAGGGCACCCTGGGGACAGCAAGCACAGCCAGAGAGTAAGTATCACTGCCCTCACTTGACTGGAGTCCCCTAATAAAGCAGAAGTGGATCCAGACCCTTACATACACCCCAGTAACATTCTGAACAGAGCCTCATTCATTGTTATCTCAGTGAGGAATCCCAGGGCAATGTTAAACTACTTTGTATTTCACCAGACATTTCCTCAGAATTTCTTCCCAGAACAGGTATGTTGTCTGTGCAGCACCTTCTGTGCAAACTAAAAATAACAGAAGTCACCTGGAGGAAAATGCAGTTCAGTTAAGAATCCTTAACCAAAAGCCATCAAAGCTGGGTCCCAGTGAAACACTCAGGGTGTGGTGCCCCCCAGTTAACACAGGCTCAATATCAGACAACTCTTTCTAACTAAAATTCCTCCTCAAAAAGAGTCAACTTGGTTTTGGATAATTTTATTTATCAAATGTTTAAAATGAGCACTTGAATCTTGAAACATCATGAAACAAAATGGCATAACTTCTCTACTAGAAGATACATACCTTGTATCTAGAATTATGCCCCAGGTATTGCTGATCATTGCAAACTTTATTTCAGAACTTTTTAAGTGGACATGCATCAGGAATTTAGAGACATGATTACAAATTACTGACCTAATTATAGGAAATTGAAAAGCAAATTAATATGCTTCCTGCATAATTAAATTCCACCTTAATATTGCTCTACTCTTGAACTAATTTGGATCAGGAACAGGTGATAAACAGAATAAAGTTGTAGTGTCTTACTATTTGCCTAGAAAAAAACCCAAATTACTGGGAAGAAGCAGAGAAAAAATGGAAAAGCAACAGTTATTAGGTTCAAATGAGTGAGGCACCAAAACACGCCCAGAAATTTTAAGATGTGACATTTGTGATGACATGCAACAAAAGGTACCACAAGATTAATTTAGTGTCCACAAACCTTCACATACTCATTATTAATCAGAAAAAGACACAACCAGCAAGAAAAAAATGCTACATAATACAAATTTGGTAAAGGAATGTTTGACTGCCTTACAGAAATTAGTTCACTTCAAAAAGTTTAAAGAACAAGGCATATTCTGCAGGCACTTGTGTAACTGCACCACAGATGTAAGAACAGGTGACTAAAATGCTGAGTTTTAAAATTGGATTGTTCTGTTCTCAGGCCATTTCTTTTCCTCCTACTCAAACTTATGGCCTTTTTCTTTTTTTGACTGAATTTTGGATGGCTGTGCCTGTAGGCCACCACTAGCCTTGTCTGCAATAGCACAAAAATTCTGAAGTTCCAAATTTAAATAAGAGCACATTTATAATAAAATGATTATGTAGCCACTTTCTCAGCTCTCAGCTAGAAGCGATTTCATATGCATATACCAAATTATTTTTTAAAGCTTGCAAAATTAAGTGACAATGAATGATGAGAGTAATTCTCAACTGGGTCCAGGTGGGACATCGAAACAACCTGACTGCTGGTAGTGAATATTTTTTAATATTTGCCTGAAAAGTAGAAGTGAACTTTGTAAACAATGAAGCAGAGGTGAAGGAGGAGAGGAACCAGTGGACACAGTCTAAATCTTACTTTAAGATCACATAAATTGTTATAATAAAAGTAACATTTTTCTGGAAAAATGCTACTTTTATTATCACAGTTTATGATGCAATGTATCTACAGAAAAAAGGTTATTTTAGAATTAGTATTTTTCCACTAGGAAACATGTTGATGTTCTTACTTCTCATTTGCTCTGACCACAATATACATTAGGAAAGTAATTAATACATTATTAGGAATGTCGGGATTTTTACAATTTCAGGTCAATAAAAAGCCACAATTGTTTCAGAAGAACAATTTCCAGATAATACCTTCAGATGTATATTGAAGCAAAGGGTCCAGGAGATCCTGATACTCCTTTACTTGTGTAGGGTTTCCTCTAAAAATGCCTAAAAATAACCAAAAAATAATTGATTCAATGGAAGAAATAATTTTTCCATGACCTCAAGGTTCATAAAAGAGGAAGAAAAAAACTCCAGTGTTTACTTTTCAAAACTAAATATTAAGTGCCTACACACTAAATAGATCATGAAAAAGAAAAGACTGAGCTGTAGATCACAACAGTCAACTCCCTGATGTTGCTTTTGGGGAGACGCTGGTATATTTAGCACTACCAGTCCCTTAAAAGTTGTTCTAGCAGAACTTTCCAAGACATATCTGACAAATATTAGCATGAGTAATGTTCAGTTCATGGAAAGTTCTTAAATGAAAATATATATTAACAATATAAAACCCATTTCTGTTCATCAAAGAAAAAACGGATCTATTTGACAAGCAAGGTGATGTTTTAAAGTAGAATATTTTTAAATATTCAATAGGAAATGAGCTAGATGAAAACTTGGCATTATAAATCTTATACTAATACACCCTTCTTCAACCACCAAATGTTGTTTTTTTTTTCCATGGCTCTTCAACACTCCATCCAAACCCAAAGCTTGACAAGTATTGCTCACCACATTTTCAAATCTTCCTGAATATATACACAGGAATATTTACAGTTACCAAGAGACACAAATGCAATCAAAGTTTGCACACAAAAAGGTGTGTTTCAAGTGACACACTGAGCATTTCAAAACACTCAAGGATACTCCTGACATAGCAGCAACCTCTGCTCCTCCCACATCCTTGACTTTTTGCCATTGCTGTGTATACACTTCAGACTTTGCACTAAGGAAGCGTGTGGATTTGGAGATATTTGCACAAAATCTACTAACAGAATTGTTCTATTTCCTAAAAGTGTGGTCCAGGCAAAAATGACAAGGACAGTATGTGCACAGAATGTATTTTTTAGGGCTTTTTGGATACAAGAAGCATAAAATGCTTTTTTTATTCTTTTGTTAGCCTCAGTTGAAGATTACTATCTTTTTGTTCTCAAAACTGCAAGTGGGCAGCATTAAATGTCAGTGCCTTTCTCCTCAGTTTTGGGCCTCACTCTTTGAAAAATGTCAAACATTTCTTTAGAAATATCAGTTGTGAAACCTTATTATATCTTCAAACACAATATTTTAATCTGTGGGTGGCCGCAGAGGAGTTGGGGCTGATGGCAGATTTCTGTGCCCCTCACTGTCTTTATCTGAAAACTAATCAATGTGCTACAGGAGAAAGAAAAGATGGACAGATTTTAATCCATTTAAAAATCTTTTTGACAATTGTAACCTCACTCATGTTCTTATTCAGACTTCTGTTCTATGCAAGTTCTAGCTTCCATCCTGAGATCACCCCTTAAACTTTGGTGTGTCTCCTGTCCTCACATCAAGACTGTCATTTTTGTTGGCTTTGTTTTGATTTTATAATTTTGTTTTATTATTCAATCAGACTGACCACGTGAAAAATCGTGGCTAGAAGGAAACAAAACCTTTCCTTGTTCCCTTTCTTCCCATCTGAATTCTGATTCAATTGCCACACAATGCTCAACTTGAGAAGCCCTGGTGCACATTGAGTGTGGCAGTGTATTCTCCCTCCCTTTTTTCTTTCCTGTGCTGCTGCTAAGTTCTGATACATCTGAAAGTTTTTCAGGCTTAAAAGGCAATGCAGGACAATGCCACAGACTGAGGCTTTTAACAAACCCTTACTAAGTTATGTTCTAAAAACAGTTCACATTAGAAATGCTGAATATAGAGGGTTGAGATGCTTGGGGTTTTGTAACCCAGGAGGCAGACCTCTCAATGAGATATTTAGTGTCACTGCATTATGGTTTATTTTCGCAGGACAGAAAAATAATTTTGTATCTTTCCTCTAAAAGCTCATTTCTCTTACACCTTTAAGGAACAGGAATGTAAAGCTATACTTACCATCAATTATCATGAAAATAAAAAAAAGAGGGAATTCACACTCAATGCCATCAAAAAGCTGCAAAGAAGAAAAATTCATCAGACATTTCATGATTTTAATTTAAGTAAATATATATCTGAATAATCCTGCAGAATAATTTCTTAGCAACAAAAGACAAACACAAATGCAAAAATATTTTAGCGAATTTAGTATCACTTAATTCTATGGGCACTTTAACTGTGCCTTTACATATGCTGTGGCTCATCCTCAAGCAGAATATTTAAATAATCTACTTTTCATTTTTCAGAGAGAAACTATGGGGGAAAATACAAAAAAATTTTCATTTAGATAACCTTAACTGATAAATACTGTGATCAAAAGCAAAACTGTTTTCCACACACTCAGACTGTAGTCAGCTGTGAAATTAAATGAAATGATAAATAATTTCCTTATTTGCTATGTGAAATCAACTGTACCCTAAATGCAAATGAAAGCACATTCATTACAAAACAACCCAATGACTCAGTGCTGACTTAGCAGTCTCTGAAAACTGCACATGCAAATGACAGAAGGCATCTCCTTGCTTTGGAGGCTTTAGGAAGCCCAGTGCAATTGTGACTGCAGCAGCTGGGGGGGTGTCAGGGTGGGGCAGGGCTGTACCTTGATTTCTGCTGGTTTATAGTAACGCCGTGTCCTGTCCTCCAGCGCCGTCCTGTACCCGTCCCTCAGAAACCTCTTAAACCCGTATTTGCCTTTCAACTTCCTAATAATTTTATCTAGTGTTTGACCAAACAGAACCTCATCATCCAAAGCAAATCCAGGATAACTAAGGCAGGGTAGAAGAGCTGCATCAGTATTCTGTAGGAGAGGGAGAAATAGGACATTGCAAATTTAATTAGATCCCTGACAACTATTTGATGCACAAACAGAGAGTGTTTAACTTACTAAGTGAAATATACATTTGGAACATTATCTTATCAAAATCATAGTGCTAATATAGGAAAATAGTGTGCAAAATAAGACTTCTTAGGAAGCATCAGGATAAACAACCAACCAAATGTGCAGATATACAATTTAAAAGATAACACATTTAACTGAGAATGCCACCTGTTTTGCAGCTGATAATACGGAGGCACAATTGAAAACATATAAAACTTTATGCTTCAGGATTTTTTTGTGTGTTTTTAAAATACATTCTCCAGATTATTCCTGGAGGAAATTTGAGTGTTATATGCTCAAAAAGAAGCACATGTATTGCATAAAGGTGCAATGCTGAGAAGTACCCATTATTAAATCATAATTTCTGAACAGCTTTTTCAGAAATATTCTTAGGGGACAGAACAAACAAGCCTATCTGATTTACAATTAGGAAGATAAGGGGATAATTCCAGGAAAAAAATATGAAACCTTCTCAGGAACCGTGTGGATCTCTTATGAATTAAAAACACTAGAAAAATTACTAACTAGTGCATCACCTCTACAGGTAAGCTTCCAGAAACACACAGAAAAGTATCATTTTCTGTTGATATAGTCAAGATATTTAACTATTTAAAATTTCTGCCAATATGACTGACACAAACCCAACAACAGAAGAAAACAACACAACGATTTATATGGGATAAGTTATAAAATCAGCTCCTGTTGGAATATTTCAAGTCTCCCGCAAATAACAAACAGCAAGAGTTCTAAAAGACCATTTGACTACAAAAAAAGTAGCTGACAGTGCCTTTTATTTTAATTATCCAGCACTACAACTCAGCTATAATTCTTCTACACAATAAGTAAACTATTAATGTTTAAGATTAATAGCCTGTTTCATTAACAAAACTGCTATTATATTCCAGAATAAATAAAAAAGCAGAACCCTATTATCACTCATTTTAAATTACTGATTCCTTAACACCAAATTTACCTTTTATGCTAGGACTGAAATAGATGTTTTTTTAACTAATCTATATTTATGTCATTTAGATTTACTCACTAAGGAAATACATTTGTAACGGTAGTTTATAACAACAAGAAATTGTTCATATTCAGCAATTTATGATAAGCCAAGCTTAAAGGCTTTTTTTTCTAGACAAAAGAAAGAACTAAAGCTAAAACAAAGGGTTTCAAAAGTGCAGAGATGGTGTGTAGTGGAAACTAGGCCAAAAGAAAAATAAATCCCAAGGCTGCAAATAAGTTATTTCAAATTTTATTTTAACGTTGTCTGGAAAGCTAGCAGGAGGTTACCATTTTAATCTAAGTATTACAAAAATAAAGAGCACCATTGTAATTCCTGTTCAGAAAAACAACTACACCACAGTAACACTTAAAAAGCAAAAATGTAACACCTTCCCAGCAAATTTCACATTTATCAAGCGCATCAGAAGGTCCATCATACAACTAGGAACTCATATCCACTTGTTTCCTCCACCCTCTGTTGAGGTGAATTTCTTTCAATGACTTACATGAGACCTTGACTCCCGGGGCAGCAATGAGCACAGGGTCTGTCTGTTCCGGTTATGGGCATCAAAATCCACAAATATGACAGACCAAGAGCAGCCCTGTGAACACAATGTTGCATTTGTTTAAGGCAAAGGGAAGAAGCTTGGTGCATCCTGCTGAAACTCACTGGTTCTGTATTTAATTTAGGTTATGTTGTCATTCTGTGGTAGCTGAAAATTTTAATCAGAAAACACAGCACATTATCAAGTCAAAAATATTTTGATTTTTAAATATAATGAAGTCTAGCCAAAATTAGATGGCTTTTTCACTGATTAGTAATTATGTGATTCATTCAAGCTATTAACTCTTCTATTAACACTTGAAAAATGAGGCCTGTATTAAGGACGAATAAAAAAGAGTAGCTGTTCTTCCCCGTGAACACAGGAAATGCTCCAAACAGTGATGCTGAATATTTCATTACGAGTCAGTTAGAATACAAACAATTGGATATTCAGCACAGGTACTGCTTTGGAAAAGGACTTTCATAGCAAATAAAAATGGCCTGCTTTTCAGTTATTGTAAAGTCTACATTATCAACATCCACTCCTCAGTAAAATCTACTTCCTAATAAATTCAGTAATTTTACACTATATTTCTCTGTCAACTTCTTGATACTTTCTGAAACACTAAAGAAAATTCCCCTGGCTGAGATAGAGTTTAAACAGAATCAATAGCATTTAGAACTATTACCAGTAGGTAACTTCTTGCAAATTCATCTTTGTTAACAAACAGATATCGCCATATATGTTGCAACTGATAATCTCAGGATCACTCCCCCACTGGAAGACACAGTCATTGTGAATTCATTCCACTAATGGTCATAAATCCCAGAAATTTTCATAAATCCACCAAATTTCTCTTAAACAGCAGTCAGTTTCTTTGGTATACTACTTTCCTAGGAAGACTGCTCCAGAGTCCACCATTCTAATTACTAAAAACTTCAATTTCCAGTGAAGTTTCTAGATAAATACCTCACCATTCTTCTTTGTGTGCCAGTACCACTACCCGCTGAGATGCTTCTCCAAAGAGTTTTTTCTTACTTACACTTTACTGCACTCTAATTATATATAGTTATCCAAAAAATACACAGCTTTTGCTTTACCAGGGTAAACAAAACCCTAAACAATTTTTTCCACTGTCATCATGGAAAATAATCTGTTTTCTCAGTCATTCTAGCAAGATATACAGTGACCAGTGCTGCAATAAGAATGTACACAAATGGCCACATTGACTTTGATGGTTTTAACTTTCTTCTTAATCCAGATTCTGATTATTCACAGTTCTCGAAACTCACCTACAAACTCTGAACACAACCTGCCTACACGTGCAGTTCCAAAGTCTATGCCACAGGGAAGGATTCTCTGGGGATTCAGGAGCAGATTCATTTGCATTTCCTAAACCCACAAGCACTTAGTTTGACAAATGAAATATTCTTCACTTCTCTAAAGACTGTAAACTTCTCAAGTAAGAACACCTTACAGAGACTTGATTTATTAAAAAAAAAAAAAAATTAAAATAGTTTTTGCTCAACCCAATAGAGGGCATGCCGCTCATACAGAAACAACTCTGCCCAGGTCAGCCTTTAATGTGTTCCTCTTGCTGTGAGCACTGCTCCCCCAGCAGTGATTTCTGCAGGCTGTACCTGTGCAGCTGCAGGTGCAAACAAGTCTCTAGAGGGGCTCAAGGGGATTTCTCAAAGCCACAGGAACACAGCTGGAGCTAAGCACAAAGGCAAACTCTGCACAGACTGAAGGTCAAAATGGGTTCTGTTAATGCCAACTACTGATCTTGGAAATAAACTCTCAAAGTATTTAAATGGGTCTTGCTTCAGCAATTTATTCATCCTTTTCAAAATTCAGAAAAAAAATTGAAAAAAACCTCAACAACCACATTTACTGGTGCTTTAAACTGTTGGGAAGGAAAAATTACATGTTAATATAAATAAGATAAATGTTATTTCTGAAAGAATAACAATGCATGGTACAACGTCTGATCATTACTGAACATCCTTACTACCTCCTAGTTCTGAACACGACGTCAGCTTTTAAAATGTATGGCATCTCTCTTCCATTTTCTAAATCATTAATTTGGAAGAGTACTCTTTTATTTTAGCTACAGACTACTATAGGTATAGCACCAAAGACAAAGATGCACATAGAAGGGGAATGAATACACAGCAGATAAAAAAGTCTCAGAAAAGGCTTGCTTCCCTAATTGAGCCAAGCCACATAAAGGATGAGAAAAGACTTTATAGATGTGCAAGACACTGAAATTAAAAACAGTAAAAAAGTGGGATTATAGAAAAGCAGTTTGTTTTAAAGTCTTGATCAAAAGCCACATGACGGAAGCAGACAAAAGGAAGGTAATGCTTGAAGGTGGAGGTATAGTCTAGTATCAGCAACAGATACAGTTCTGAAGGAAAAAAAAACATTTTGGCAACAAAACTCTTTTTCAGACTAAGCTACAACCACTTTAGAATTTTTCTAAGGAAAAATCCCAAGTGATTCTTGATAGAAAGGGCACTAATGATTTTATCAGATAAATTCTGTACCTGAAACAGCAGCAACCAGTTTCCTAACTTTCTTTAAAGCTGGAATCTAACAAACTGTGCTAGATACTTCTAAATATCCTCTGATCTACTCTGTAAATCATTATTCCTAACAAAAAAGGAGGGAAAACAAACACTTCTATTACCTGATTTCCAAAGAGATTGAAACCATTAATTGCTTCTAAAGCTGCTTTTGCCAGTCCCACGGAGCTGAGGAGAAAGCAAAACAAAAACCCAGAGGTATCACAACTCAAGCCCAGGCTAAAACTTCACACACTTGACAGCTTTCAGTGCCATGATCTTTTCTTGATTTGAATTTTATGCTTAACCTTTATGTTACTAAAATGATGATGCAGCAGATTTGGGGTTGTTTTGGTGGTAGGTTGGTGTTTTTCTCTGAAGTACTACTCAGCATTTTATTTGTCTTCAAATGTCAGAGACCATCTCAATAGAGCTTCTGTTCTCACCTTGCTATCAGATATTGGCATTATGCATTTCAAGGTCTCGCTAATAGCACAGAGACAAAAGATTTAATTCAGCACAATTTTTCAAACCAGCTCTCAAGCATTAAACTTTAAAAGACTGATTTCTAGCTTTCAATATAATAAAAGAGCTCATCAATCTGAATTCACAACAGAAGGATTTTTGTATGTCAACCATATAGTGGAACATCTTTTATTTTGCTCCATCACAAAGAAAACGTGACCCAGAAATTCCATCAACAAGACACTATGGATTAAAATCACTAGTAATTATATAATTTAATAATTAAAATTATATATTAAAATTATTTATTAACCATTATGTAAACGCCACAGTACAAATAAAATATACATTTTAACAAAGTATTTTCATTTAAAAAGTGTAGTTTTCTATTTTCCTTGTGATTATTACAAAATAAAAGTGAAGAAGCATTCTTCTCCTTTCAGTTTCACTCCTCTCTTTTTCTCAGTTTTAAAGAACACATAATTATAGATAGGCCAACTTTACTTATGTCCATTCAACTGAGGTAAGGAACTAGAGCATTAACATACACATGAAACACCACATTCTTTGCATGTTGATTCCAAAATTCCAGACATTATGGTCACAGGGCACCTAAAAGTGAAATGTTAGAGGTGCTATTTCCCAACAGTGCCAGAGTTCACAAAGAAAGTGAAACAGCCCCAGGTTTGTGACACTTCTGTTGAATGCAAACACTCAGGCAGGGACAGGCCTTAGCTCTGCCTCTCAGTGGGGACAGACAAGTGCAGGGCTGGGAATACCCCAGGGGTCCAGCTCAATAAACACCTTTTACATTCTCTTAAGCAATCTGGTAAAACAAACTTGGAGCATCCACTGAAACAAAGCCTAGTTTTCTCTGTTTATAAAATTAATTAATGAAACACTGAGTTATAATAAATATTCAGATAATAAGCACTAACAATTCCCCCACTTCTATATAAGAGGAGTTGTGACTGTGTTGACAAACAATTTCATCATCCAGTGCCCCACCAAAAAATTTACAGCAATTAAATTGGCAGAAATCTGCAAACAGGGACTGTGCTTTAATTTTTATTTTTCTATACTCCATGCAGAACGCTGGGATGGAAGCAAACATTTTACCTTACTCTAAATAAACTGATTTTTACTATCTAATATTGTAAAATATAAAATTTCAAATTATTATTAACAAATGCATATTTTAAATATGGGGTCTAATTATGACTACACAGAAAATATTTAAGATAATGAAAATAATTCAATGTAGTTACAGAATTTGGTTTTTTAAGTATTATTTTACCTGTGTTGGTTCTAATATTAGAAATACTTCAGACTGATTTCACACTTTATCATTTATAAACCCCCATATTCCTTTCTGAAACATTGCCAGAAATAATACTCCTGAGTTTCAATTCTAATTGTTCAACAAGAGAAGACTGACCAGCTTAACTACAGCCTGCTCTGAGCAGCTGCCTCTGCTTGGTGTCTTCTGATGCTGAAAGCTTTTAGAGCTGGAGAATGAGAAGAAGAAATAAACTGACTCAGAAGAATTGGGAATGTAATTATTTTTCTGGCTTTGTTTCAAATACTTAAAACAAAAAAAAGTAATTGTTCTAAAAATTGTTTTATTCTAATTATCACCTAGCTATTGATCAAATAAATCTGTATGATGACTCAGAACAGAACTTTTCAGAGGAATTCAGTGTTATCAAACTGCATATACAGAAGGTAAAAATCAGAGCAATCCTGCACACTGAAGGCTGTATAACATGTTAAAATCTCGTATTTTCCTTTCAAGTAACAGTCCTAATATCAACATGATATATTTTCAGAGTGAGAAAAAAGTTACTGCTAAAAGGTAGAGAATAATAAATGTTCAATTGGTATTCAGATAACATAAAACTACTCAATCTGTCTACATAATAGGATGATACTGTTCAAATGAAATTCAAGGCAAACATGTATTCCTTCCTTGAAATCATCTCTACTTTGCAGACTCAGTCATTATTCTACAATAAGACTAATTTAGTAATTTACTGTAATTTATCAGCATTTTTCTACCTCTAGTTATTGAAAGCCCCTGGAGACTTCATTACTCTCACAATTATGTGCTAGTGACCATATAAACATCCCAACATTTTCAATCACTCTCTCACCACAAACACAAGTACAACTCAGATTATCAAAAGTTTTATGAGTAAATGACAGGAGGAAGTCCTTTAAAAGAAAAAAGAAGTCTGTGAAGAGCCTTTGTATCAAGTGTGTCTTTACAAGAGCGAACAATCACAGCACAGCACACTTCAGGACTGTGATCACACTTCACACTCATTTCATTCCTACTGATTAATGCCTTCCTGTTGGGAAAATTGCTAAAGAGGTTCTGTTATGAACATTATGCTTCTGTCTTTCCACAGAAAATACATTCCTCATATTCTACAATTTAGTAACAAAAGAAATTGAGTGTCTTAACAGAATGAATTAATGGCAAAATGTATTTTAATAAATGTGTTCCTTCTTCCACTTACTAAGCCACTATGAACAAACTGTACTGACCTGTGGGACTCTGTCTGGAGAAGAAGGTGCTTACTTGGAGATGGGCCCAAAACAAAACCAAACCCTCTTAAAATATCCCTCTAAAAATTTCACAGGATCATGAAGTCATTGGCCAGAAGGGACATATGGAACTCATCTAGGCCAACACAAAACCTCACTTGAAGCCAAATATCAAACCAAGACCAATTTAAGTAAACCACAGCCTATACTAGCCTATCTCCAAGAACGGAGATTCTGCTTTGAGCATCCTGCTCTTCCCTTCTCTGTGCTTCAAATGAAAAGGTTTTTTCTTAATGCCCTCACTGAACTTTACCAGGTGCAATCCTTAAACCTTATTGGAGCTGCCAATTATTTTAATGTGTCAAGGATTATCAAGAGCAGCCTTGAAAACATGATGCCACTGAGTAACATTTGACCTTGAGCCATATTTAGGGCAGGGGAAGATGAGACTAATCTAGAGAAACCACTTCCAGCTTGCTAAAAGAGATTTAGTAAACACACTTAAACAACATCCATAATTCTTATTAATTTTTAATTGTTGGATTCAACCCCTCAGTAAAATACCTAAGGGTAAATACTAAAATGTGCATATTTTTAGCAACTGTAAATCAAAATACACCTAGAAGTGTATCCACCCTTAATCCTCCTCCTGTTCAATTTCTTGCCTCCATCTGAATGCTCTGCATTTCAACTGGAGCACCACAGCAGACATGAAAAATAAGCAAATGAGAAAAAAAAATTTCTACATCACTAATATTTTTGTAAGTATATAAGCCAAAAAAGAACAAGGAAGGACAGCACTATAGCAATGTGCTATATACTCCAGAGAAGAGCAAGACCCAGGCCCTGCAGCTCCAGATTTGGAATATGAGGATGCTGCACTTTGGCAATTTCCTAATTCTCAGGGTACATATGGGAGGTGTCAGAGGCACTTTGCACAGCGACTCAGCAGATGCCTACAGAGCAGCTGCATCAAACGGCTACAGGACAAATTAATTTTTGTCAAGTTCAGCCGTATGGGAAGGGATCACGCTACAATAAAAGCTGGTACAAATCTTGCCTTTGAACCAATAAAAGACATCAATTTGCATACATCAGTGAGGACGTGCTCCACAGAGTGTTCTGCTATTTATCATTTATCAGAAGTGTTTGGAGCTGTACTAAGAGAGAATACCGAGGCTGTGAAGGCTTAAAATATCTGCATCTTTTAACATGGGCCATAATGTGCAGCTATTATTCACAGACTGTATAATATCTTCTTTGAACAGAAAGCCTCTTTCAATAAAATACAAGAATTACCTACTCATTCTGAAAGCAAACACAGCCTATATGGAGACTTCCATCACAGATTTTAAGGGTCAGGAGTGCACCATCCTTAACACTGACCCTGAAGAGAGCACTTTGGGGCTCACAGAAGACCCACATACATCATTTGTGAGTAGACCTCATATTCATAATTGCTTCATCAATTTAAAACAAAAGGGGTTTTATAGCTCTCTTTGGTAGATACAATTGGAACATAAAGTATAAAGAATATTTCAGTGCACCCAGGGCTTTCCTCAATAATATCTAAAAATGTCTTTTGATGCATGCTGCCCTTCCATTTTTCCTGATTTATGAGACCCAGGGAAATAGCCCAGCAGCTTTCTACAGTGAAGGAGAGTATCCACATGTACACAAAGAATGATAAATAGAGGCAATACTTGTTTCTGATGACCAAAGTCTACTTCTTACATTAGGACCAAGCTCTGTACTTCCCCTTATGCTAGCTCAATGATCTGTTAGATTGGCCCAGACCATCTCACAAAACTTTACACTTAGAAAAACCAATCTATAAATGCCAGTCTAGATTAAGACAAAATAACATGCCCATTTCCATCTGTTTAAAAGATGCTCAGTTTTCCCTGAAGAAAATTCACATATTGAATAACCAGAATGCTGCAAACAGGAGACACAGGAGTTTCAGTGTTCCTTTTGCACATTTCTACAAGGTGAGATGTGGAAAGAAGCATTTGTTTCTTTATGTAGTCATGTAGCTCATGTAGTCTGGCATTTGACCATTTTACAGACACAGTAGGAGAAAAGAAAATCAGCAAAGTCATAAAGCAGATTATATAAAAACAACTAGAATTTTTGTTTGTTTGTTTTGTTTTCATATTGATAAAAAGGCTCTATAAAAATCCTGGGGAAAACCCCTACATTAAGAGTATTGCTGCAAGGATACGTAATTATATCTATAGGTTAAAATAGACATGCTTGCATGTGCGCTAAGAAAAATAATTCATTCTCAAAAGACAAGACAGATTTCTTTGGCAATACTGAAGACTGTAAGAAACATGTATTCCTTGCAAGCCCTTGAAAATAAGGATTATCAATAATATTTTCCAAATTCAAAGATATCCAACCTATAGCCATTTTTATGATTAATAAAACCTCAGAAGCCAAAAAGTGAAGAAAACAATAGTAACACTAGGAAAATCAAGTTGTCAGATTACAGATTTGATCCTTCAAGGCAGAGAGCGCATGAGTGATTCCACTGAGGTCAGCAGGACACCTCCAGCATTAAATGCTACCTGCATTGCTCCCTGTCCCTGACAGGGCTCAGAACTTGCAGCATCTGAAAAACCTGGAAAAGAACTTGGCACTGGGCTGCTCTCCAGTGTACAGCATCTTCTTCCCACCATAGCATAGAAGAGAAAATCTAAACTCATGAATTCTACACCTTTTTAAAGCAGGATATTCCTAACCAGTTTTTTGACTATGATTCCAATCCCATTGCACATGCTTCGAGACCCTGAGCTGTTCTGAGCACAAGTTTCAGAATTATATACATGCAGCTGCACATAATTATTGGAATTTGAATACTTAAAGAGCTAAGCATCCATGTGGTTATTTCAGCATGCATTTCATGATGAAATTATCTTCACATTTTCCCAAAATACATCCCTCAGTCTTTAGAGAACCTTAATTTAGTTCAAACGGTATTTTCATGCATTATTATTTTTAGCTCACCCCATTATGAATTCTTTTCATTCATTTACTTGCTTTGGCTAAAAGAGCTACATTTTTTCTCCTACCTTGAGTGCAGCTCTGGACTGCCATTGTTATATTTGCTGCCTCTTTCCCAGACACCAAAATCTGGTACCCGATAGGCTCTCTCCACACAAAACACCAGATTCTGGATGAAGGACACCTACAGGAAAGAAAAGTGAAGGAAATGAAGGAAAATGAAGGCACATCTTTTCTGTTTTTTCTAAAAGACAAACTTGCTATTCCTTGTAACTGTTCTTTCCATCCTTTTCTGTCTGATCTCAAAGGATGATGTTCCCAAGTTCAAATATTCTCTTTAAAATCAGTTTTTAATCACAGTATGTTAAGAGCTGTACCAACTGAGGTTCCAATGTGAATTTATGCAGAAGTCTTCATATTCAAGACACATATTTGAAGAACTCCTAAAAGGTGATATTTTGATCTTTTCAAAAAAATTTATGCTAACAACATCAGAAACCAAAACAAAATTAGAACACAGAATTCCTGGTGCTTTTTCTGAATTCATTTTAAGAGAACTGATATGCCAAAGTTTTATTAAATAAGCTCTAGATAATATATATTTATGCAGAAAAGAAAAGAAAATACTGCAATGGCTACAAACACAACCATACTGAAGAACTACAGAGAAGGATCCACTTTGCTAAAAAGTGTTTTGGTTTTTTTAAATGATCTATGTAGCAAAACCCCAATCTTTTACTGAAAGGTATTTGCCTGTATACCTCTGTTATGTCTTTTTTCTCCATTTCTCTTTAAAATTTAATAATTTACTATTTCATATTTACTCTTTATATTTTTTATTTACTCTTTTAGCTAATACCAGTCCACCACCAATATTATAATTCTAGACACACTTGTCTCTATTTAATGTCTCTGCTGAATTTCACTGTGAAGGATACAAGAAAACCCTATGTCACTCTTCAACTATGCCCAATATATTCATCCCTGCAATTTAGCCTTTGGTTGTACTAAAATGAACTTTCTCTGAATGAAGCCAGAACACCCAAATATTAAGAGTGTAGCTTTTCCCATGTCTATCAATAACCGAAATTTATAGGAAGGAGCAAATAGCACCACATAGAACATACAACCTTACGGATTACTTTTTACCAGTGATGATGTTTGGAACATAGGGCAAAAAAATGGTCCATTACAGACATTTTCTGACATTACCTAGGGTTTCCAAATAGCAGATTTACATCAAAAGAGCCATAAAATAGCTTGTTGTAAACCAAATCTTCAGAGAACAAATTATTCATATCACAGGCATGTAAATGCTATAACCAGTATCAATGCCATGGCACTTACAGAAATTATGGGTTGTGTCTTATGCTTATTTATCCAAAGTTTAGCATGTGGAGATGGAAGTGTAATAAAGAGCACACACCCAGCAAGGATGCCTGCAAATACTCATGGTGCTGGATAATGTGTGGCTATCTGCTCTCATTCATACACTGCTCTTTGCTAGGGATGCAAAGATGCAATTAAATTGATTTTTCCACTGCCAACAGATGAAAGCAGAGGGTAACTCACTGACAGAGTTACCCCCATAGATTCTTAACACCCATAGATTCACAGCTGCCACACCTGCCATGGAGGGGCAGCATTGCCTCTAAAGCCAAGAGCTCTGTGCACAAACATTCCCACAGTCAGGATGGCAAGCAGCGCCCATCTGCCAGCATCCAGCCCACTGCAGCCAGCCCTCTGCAGCCTGCAGCCAGTCTCCTGAAGCCAACCCCCTGCATTCTGCAGCCAGTCCCCTGCAGCCAGCCCTCTGCAGCCTGCAGCCAACCCCCTGCATTCTGCAGCCTGCAGCCAGTCCCCTGCAGCCAACCCCCTGCATTCTGCAGCCAGCCCCCTGCCTCCTGTGCTGCTCCTCCGAGGGGAAGGGCCCGAACCCCACCTGCCCTGGGGCACAGGGCAGGGACATCCAACTGTGGGTTTGGGCAGCAGAGTGCCACATTGACACTGCCACCTCCCCACTGCCACTGCCACACCCAAGCCATGGCCACTGCCACATCCTCTAGACACAGGGGAAACCTCAGACATTTGATCATCAGGTGGTGTTAACACATTCTGACAATTGCTGAAGCCACACAGAGCTCAAATGAAAGTGCAGGTCTGTGGTAAAAATATCTGAGTATGAATCTCCACAGTGCAGAGATTTAGAGGGGACAGTTGCTAGGAAAAGGACATCCTGGCAAGGAAGAGGAGAATATCCACTGACTGGAGAGTCTATCAACATGCACTTTTTCTGCAGAATCTGTAATTAAATGCAAACATCTGGAGGATAACATAAATTATATATCAAGCTAATTAAATGCTTAATTATATACATTTGCCTCCTCACAGATATAAAGGCAGTTCAGAGGAAATAATATATGCCTATCATATGGTCTAAGAAAGAAAGAAGACATGTTGCAAAATTTAGTTTTCTAATTACGTAAAAAAATAGATTACTGAATAAGTATGTTATAGGAAAATAATGCAAATTCACTATTACTGGAAAAATCTGTCTTTTTTTAAAATAGTAGTACTGCAAGAACATTTTTAAGGCAATACAGCAGCAACTATCAAACAGAACAGGGTAAATTTAAACAAATCCAGATTAAGAAAATTGGAGAAAAAAAGAATTAAAAAAGTATATACATCTGTGCTTTCCATTCCAGTTTCAAAACATAACCTCATTTTAGAGCAGGCCAGCAGGTTGTCCTGATATGACTTGTACTCAAGCCAAGGCTATTATTATCTTATTTACAGAAGAGTTAACACTCTCTACAAACATCTCTTACTATGATATAAAATTCTTTTATTTTCAATTAAAGATATAGCAAAAATTCTTAACACCCACAGAACCATATGTGTTGTAAGAAAGCCCTGTGTCTTCCCTGAAAATAAACCCCATTATTTATTATAATGAATTTTCATTGGACAGGATGAACTGAGAGCTTGAAATAATGTGAAAAGTGAGAACATAAGTAGGAGTTAATTAATTAATTAGTTAATTAAGAAGTTAATGTAAGTAGTAGGTAAAGGTCCTAACAGACCTTTTAATTCTTGACATTGCAGCTATCAGAAATAGCAGAGAACTATAAAACTTTCAATGTCATGTTACATCTACTCTTTGCACATCTAACACGTTTTTAGCTATTATTTCACTATCCATTCAATCCATTAATTTTTCTGAGTTCCATTCAAAGCATAGAATACCTGCAGTGTATTTTCAGAACAATTACTTTGCAGTAGATAATGAAATAAAAAACAGAAAAAACACAAACAATTTGAAGCATATTTTAGGACAGGAAATCAATTTGTACCTCATCTGTGTTGTAGATAATCTGCAGCCCCGAAGAGATCATCTCAACCAAGTAGAGGAGAAATAATGACACAGCATTGATCTGGAGTAATTAAACACATAAAGGAAACTATAATTAACTTTATGTTTATTGGAGTCATGCAAAAAAAATAAATGTGGTATAATTCACTAACAAAAATGATCCCACTATAAAACACTTCTGCTTCTTAAAAATGCCTGGATCTAATGATGTGGAAACAATCAATAGGAAAAGGAGGCACAAACAAGCATTGTCCTCTAGAATTTCTGGTGTTTTATAATTTTTTAATTTCAAACTGTGCTAGGAAAATGCTCTCCCTTAGGCACACTGCTTTGACCCACAGGTAAAACAAGCTGTTTTCATGTTTACATATATGACATGTTTACATATATGACAACCCACATTATACCAGAAAGGCAAGCAGTATATTGAATGGTGCACAGCACACCTAGAAAGCAAATCACTTCTGCCCTGGTGGGAATTTTGGCATTATCAGCTGACAGGAGGAGAATTACAACATTCAGATATGATCAGATATGTGAAAAACTGTATTATTTAGTACCCATACACAGCATTTATTGTAAACAGTTATTATCTTCAGCAGCTGTACAGATGAGCATGATAATGTCAACTCATTGAGGAATCAAAGGAAACTGCTGGTTTGATTTTTATTACAGAACTTTCCTATACTTGAGAATTTGTACAACTTCAATAGAGAAACTAAGTTTATCACAGTATGAGGCATAAAACCACAATCCCATTACATGAAATTTAAAGAAACCATCTAGAAGAAAAAAAGTGATTCTTATCTGGAACATAGCAGATCAAAAATTAGGTCCAGATTCTAAAAATCCATAAATATTTAAAGACAATTGACTCCAGTGTCTTAATACAAACTGAAAAGCACCAAATATAGCAATAAGGGCTACATAAAATATTCAATGTTTCCCAGCTGAGCCCTCTCAGTTACTCTGTATTCATGTCTCCACAGAGCTGAAAACCCTCTAATTTTTTAGGTATGCAGATGACAGATGGGAATGTGCATTTGTGTTTATGGGAAGGGTTGAGCTGCCACAAAAAACAGACTTTAAGCTGTCATACAATGTTCCCCAGGTCCCCAAATTGTCTCCTCTTATAGATAAAACATGCGCCTTCTCAAGAAATTTCACATAGTCCAAAATGCTAACTTAAGAAAACTCCATAAAGCATTTTCCCCAGAACATGCATTTTCTGAATCCAAAACATTTACTGTACAAACTATTTAAGTAATACTGTCACCATGAAATGAAATAATCATCAACCCACTGTGTCAGTTCTGAATAATTTGACTAGCAATTTCTGAGCTAAAAGATGTGTGCAGACTTATGGAATGCAAAATAACAAGAACATGAAAGCAAAGGTGGGTCTGAAAGTAAAGAGAACAGGAAATAAAAGGAGTAAAGATTAAAACTCTGGAAAATGAGAGACAATAAAACAATCAGTTATGCATTAGTCTGACTAGGAACCACTATGCAAAGCAGTGAACAATTCCTAACTGTTGTCAGTGTACATTAAATGAAGGAAAATTGCTCCAAATTATGGAAAATTAAACTGTGAATATCCACCATAAGATTACACTAAATCTTTCACTTTCCTTACTACAACATTTTTTTGCCAGTATTATTTATTGACAGCCATCTGTTGGTTTCAAAAAGAAGCAACTTTGTAAACAACCAACCATCTACCTCTACAATCTCACAGTTATTTCAGTACCTTCTGACCAAAACATACAATTCAATTATGTTTCAAAACACTCTGTCTTTTTCAGCAGAAGATGCAAAAAGCAACTAATTCAGTTTTACCACACACAGCACATCTAACATAAATCTAACCAAACTGAGACAGCTGCATTATGGAAGAATGCAGACAATATTATTAAAAAATCAACCAAATTTAGATTTACAACAATATGGATGTGTTACCTGAAGGTGACCATACTCCTCATGTGAGAAGACCTCATCTCCAGTCTGTGCACTGAACACAGAATGCAGACATGCAGATGGTTTGGGGTCTTGTTTAAATTTCTGAACCTAAATATGAATGAAAGGCAAAACATAAAAGCAAAGGCAGTAATTTCACTATGTTTGGCAACCACAAATTCACCATATACCTTATTTAAAATTATTATTACTATTGTTATTATTACCAAACTAAAAAATTTCTTGATCTGACCACTATGTAAACCTTATAATCAAGTGTCTTCTCAGAATAATTACTTTATAGCTGGAATCAAGATAACTCCATAACTCTTCAAGTCATGCTTTGCTCTCCAACAAATATTACAATTTTCTAATCATCATTGCCAGTACCTGATCCACATTTCACAGTATTTTCAACAGTGATGCTACTTTCATAAGATTTTCTTCTCTACCAATGAAACACAGCTCATGCCTCAGAACAAGGAAACAAGTACTATATTGTGGAGTCTACTCCACAAATACATTAAATATACTTCAGGTCATGACTCTTAGTTCATTGGCAATAGAATGCAACAGCTGCATTTTTGCTAAAAGCAGCAGCATTTGCTCAAGTCATGCCTTGTGCAGATATAACTTATATTACTAAAAAATATCTTCCTTTTACATGAGACCCCACACAGTCTCTCAGAATAAAGTCCAGCTTGACTTCTGTCTGTTTGCTATCAGAAACTGTTTATTACTACACTGTAGGAAGAGAAAAGCATCTGTAGAAAGCAAAACCAGACAAGCAGTGTGCCAGCAGTGGGACATCTCTCAGTTTAATGCTCATTATTCTTATCTGGTACTCTTCATCCCCAAAACAAAAAACTGCACATCAAAGAGAAAAACAACAGCTCAACTGTAACAAGATTAATTTAGGTCAAGATTATTTAAAGATATGAGACTCTCCAGAAGCAATCCAACCCCCCAGAAAATATATGTCAGCATAGATACAAGTGGCAATACAATACTTGCTCATTATTATTGTTACTGATACCACATACCTGTGGACTTCCCATTTCAGTTTGTGTGCTCAGCTGTGAGGGAAGCTATGGACTTACTATGAAAACTATTTCTAATACCAGTTAAAAATCAGTGCACTGAAACTTAAAATAACCACATGGATATAAGTATTTAACTACTTCTAGATCCACTGCTGACCACTATGCAAAATTTATCCACCACACCCAATTTTAATAAGAATGCCTGAATATTCAGAGTATATTCACAAGAGAATTAAGGGCTGAATAAATCAACTGTGTTGCAACATAAGTAGACTACAGTGTTTCCTTACTCATTTTGGAAATGTGTGCCCTTCTGAAGTTATGTCATTAAGTAAAATACTGCTGGAAAATGTCTGCTAAAGAAACCAAAAAAAAAAGTCAAAATTATCATCTAGGTAAGGAGAACAACTGCAAATGCAATAACCAAGGTAACAGTGCAAAGAAAACTCTCCAGCCTTAACAAAAAGTAGTTCTACATCTTTTCATTTAATTACTATAAAAAGACATAAAACCCTCCACATGTACTAATGGTGTAATATTTAAATAGGACAAATAACTGCAAAATGAACACAAAGAAGTTTCAAGTGTACCCTGCACTTTCCTACTCAAAATGCTCACATCTTCAACTCCCTAAAACAACGCTGCAACAACAATGAAGCAGCTGTTCTGAGCTGGGGCACCCTAACACTGTGGATTTGATGTGTATTTAGGATTTGCTTCCCCAGGTTAATGAATCCCTGGGAGTGAGGCGAGCGCTGTGTCCACAGCACAGTTTTACCTTATCGGCCTGGCGCATGTAGCAGTAGAGAATTCCTCTCATGCACTTTATGGCGGAATGCTCCAGCTCATGGGTCCTTCCCTTGTCATCATCAATGCGCCTGGGTGAGAGAGATAACTCATAAAACAAATTGCAAAAGCATTAGTGGGGGGAAGAAAAAAGAATTCATGCTTTGGAATATTAAGTATTTAACTAATGCTGTTGCATAGTGATGCCCTCACTCATATCTACACATTTACATCCCTAGCCATCTTTTCTGATTAAAAATAATAAAGATAATAAAAGGGTTTTTGTCTGGCAACTTACACAAGCATTCCTCTTTCAAAATTTAAGAATTAAAAAAGATTTCTTCCTGATATTATAGCATCCAGTCTCTTGCAAATAAATTATTCTTAGGACCAGCAACAAGCCCCCCAATGCCCTGAACTCTCCTACTAGATTTAAAAGTATCCCCTGAGTACAATTTGCCAGAAGAACCTCTATCTTTAGTAGTATCCATTAATTCCACTGTAACAAATACTGGCACCAATTACATTATATGAAAACATGTTTACTTACCAAAAGTAGAGTGACATTTTTAACGTAGCACCTTCATAAATATTTTTACTGAGATTTGGAAATGCACCATTCTCTATGGGTTTACAAATCTATTTTTTAAAAAGATGCATCTTTTAAAACTTTCCCAGGGAACTGAATAAAAGAGGGAATGGTAACCTGGCAGAGACACGAGTGTAGAGGTTATTCACCTGTAAGCAAGGGCCAATGCCCAGGCACAGGCAGCACAGTAAAGGCTATCATGGACTTTTGCCTTTTGGTTACTCCCAAAAGTCTTGGTAGGGAACAGACCTGTGGTCGGGCTTTGATGGACCAGCAGTGTTGATTTAACTGGAAGAAGGAAAGACAGAAAAGATTGTTAAGAACATTTATTTTTCTTCCAGTTTCTAAATAGATTTTCAGCAACAATCAAGGTGTAAACAACTTGTTAGAGCATTCAGAAGATCAAATAAGAGCAAGAAAGGTAAGGAGAAACATACACAAAATTTGTTACATTGTTTTGTCAGACAAATTAGACCTTTTTACACAAAAACCCAGCAGTATTCAAAACTATTTCTATGACTCTGTTCTAGCACAACCCACTTTGTACAGAATTTCCACAAAGCAACCCAGCAATTTCCTTTCTATGAAAGCAGAAGAAAAAAGTGACTACAGTATGTCAACTGGCCCCCAGTCAGTTAAATGCTTAAACTTTCCAGAATCTTACATTCATAAAAATTACATTTTTAACTCAGGCCAGATGATTGTATAAATATTTATATAAGTAGAGGGGGGTAAGGAGAAAGGACAACTACAATTATTTAACTCAGTGTCTTGATATGAAAATAGATTAAGACAGGAATTTTCAGGTTGCCAAAACTGAGTTAGAAAAAATACTAAGTATTACTTTATTTCTTTTTGTACTTCAATATTTTGCATTTTGGAAATTGTTTTTCCCAAGGTTATATAATAACTGGAATGCTACAAGATTGAAACTGGGCTTAATGTCCTTGAACATGACCTTTCTAGCAATAATCTCTTCAGCATAAGACAGGAAAGTAGGTTTTCCACAGATTGTTATCAAGCATCAATTTTAAGAAGGCCTCTTGATTGCCTATGTAGAATACTTAGTCTCTAAGTAGTCTAAATGAAAATTACAAGATTTTACAGATTTGGCATTATATTCAGTGTCTTGATACCCTATAACAAAAGCTTTGATAAAATATTACCTGAAAAACTCAATATAGATTATTATAAATGAAGTATAAATTCAATAGTAGACTTTTACTGTGGCAGCAGCATAATTGCCTGAGATAAACAGCAAGCACCACCGTGGGTTTGTTGCTGTCAAGGGTTAAAAAAGCCAACTGAACAGTCATCTCCTCTGTAAGAAAGCTAAAAGCAATGCACCTACAAAGAGCAACACAGCTATGGATAGACCAGGAACAGATTTCACTTCAAAAAGTCATTTGAAAGAAGGGAATCCCATCCCATGTTTTTAGAATGATGGGGAAATTGTTCACTATTCTGTGCCCTTGCCTCAGTAAAACTTAAATTTTAAACCATCAATTGCACAGCCATTAAACAGCCCTGATTTCAGAATACATGCAGGACTTCATTATAACACGAATCTCCTAAAACCCAAAACAATCAAAACAAAACATTGCTTCTTTAATGGTTTTGGCTTAAAATAACATCAAATGAAAAACACTACAGTTGACTTGAAATTAGCTAACAAATAAATTTCAGCACAAAAATACATTATGGCACCATTAATAACAAAAAGAACTTCTAACTGATCACCTGTCAGACTGTTCCAAGTATGACAAGAAAGCTTTTGTCCATTTAATTTTTTCCTAACTGTATCTGGTCAATGCTACAATCCTAAGCTACCCCTTTATCCAAAATACTTCTAAATTCAATCTTACAGCTGAACTGGATTTTCAACGACATTTTGATTTACAGAAAGAAATGTAACTCAGCCCTCCTCTTTGCACCTTCCAAATTTCCAGCAAAAGTTTAGGAAACTATCCTTAAGTAGGAATAATGTAGAGCTGATATTTATCATGCAAATATCAATTCTAACTCACATCTGGGTTAGTTTAAGCATTATTAACTTACCAATTCTATAGTAATGATTTAATTTATCCCACAGAGTTTCCCCCTCTGGCTTTGGAAGGTTAATACATTTAAGTGGCTCATAAATTGAACCTAAAATAAGAAGAAAAAAGAAAAAAAAAAAAAAGATCAGAATCAGTTTCATCATTGTAATAGTGCTAAAAATTACTGTGATAAGCTATTTCTTGTTTATACAAAAACACAATTTATCAAATTTCAATTGAAACAAAAAAGTTGTCATCTCTACAGTTTCAGAGAATTTTTTCTACAGTACCTGTCTACACAAATCAGACCTCCATCTGTATCTCCAGTGTCTTGTAGATATTCAACTACAGCAAATGCTACCTAAGTGTAGAGTTAATTATTGAAGACAACTATTAAATGTTAAGAGTTTTCTATTAACATTTTCTTAGAACCTAAGTATGTTACAGAAAAAATTCCAGAAGATATGCAGGAAAACAGAAGAGGGACAAAAGTAAACCATATTCAATTCTTACTGCCCTACCTGCCTTCTAAAATGGTGAAGATGTTCAACACTATCAGTGTTTCACCTACCCCAACCTCGTCTGCACCCACCAGAGTCAGCCCAGCTGATGTCATGTCAGAAAAAGGGTTGGCTTGTTCCCACAAGCTGCTAAAGCTTAAGCAAGTTGTTCAACAGATAAAGCCCTCAAGCTACCTACATTCCAGAGAAATACACTATCAATTGTCCATCTTTCATTCTCACTGTCCCATGTATTGACTGCTTCTCTATTTGCACCTGAAAAGTCAGTTTTACTGAGAGCTGAAATGAGCTACCTATTCAAAATTATTGGGGTGAACCATTTCCAGCTTCTAATTTCAGAGTAACATCCTGCTCTCCCCCACAAATCACTGGGGCTTTATTCAGTGTTCTGGATGGCAAGAGCTCCATGAGAGCCATGTGCTAACGGAAGAATGAGAATTTTCCTTTCCCAGCCTGCACCCTGCCCTTTGGAAAAGCTCAGGGAATGCAGTGCCATGGCAGCCCAACCAGCCAAGCAGTTCTGGCAGGACACAGCGAGTGCTCCTTTTCACAGAGCCTCTTTGGCAACCCCAGCACACTCCCAAGCATCAGACTCGTAATTGTCCATATACAGGACTCTCAGCCCCATGAAATCAAGAAAACAAAATATAAAAAAAGAAAAGTGTTCAAGAGCCAACTGGATGTGAGACTCAGTGCCCTGTCCAGTTGCCAAGATGGTGTTTGGCCAAATGTAGGACTTGATGACCTCAGAGGTCCTTTCCTACCTAACTGGGATGTGTGCAGAATGATGACAGAAGCTTTATGACCAAGTCCTTTGGTGAAGAGAAGAAAATGTCTAGCCATTCAAGAATGCAAACCTCAGCCCAAGTTAGATTTGCTTTGCTAGCACAAGAGTGAAAAAAGTCCTACCCCTCCCCAAGCAGAACTCTGGGTGCCTGCTCTGCTTGGATGTCCTGGTGATGCTTCCCAACCCATCTGAGCTTCCCCTACAGCCTTTCCTCATTGGGAAAGGTTAAATTAGGAATAAACACCCACATATGGGAAAGGGTCTGAAAGGGAAGGACTGAGAACCCAGTGTATTTGAATTGCCTAAAAAGACAAAGTCAAAAGAAATGAAATTGTTCTGTAATGGAAAAGAAAAACTTGTAACATATCACAGCTTTTGTATCGTCTATTTAAATAAATAAATAAATAATGAACATTCTGAACTGATTGAAATCCATTTTTCAAAGCTATTTTGTTTTTCTACTTCTTTTAGCCTATGAATCCCTGTCCATGAAATGTTATACAATTAATTCAGTTATCTTGCAAAAGCACACAATACAGTGAGCTGCAGTAACTGTAATTTTGTACAGTGTTGTACTGAAAGGATGGAATACACAAAAGAAAAAAATCTTCAGGAAGTCAGTACATAAAACGCAGCAATTTTATGAGAAATTCACTTACCAGATTTTTCAAAGGCAAAATAATGATTCTAACACTTAGATTAGATAACTGAATATCATATGCATATCCACCATCCTTTGTGTTTGAAATGGGTTCAGACTGTCCACTTCCTGCAGGCTGCTAACCCCAGTGTGGCACCAGGACACACAGCTGAGCATCCACAGGCACATACACACAGCTCAAAAGTTCCTGAACTAAAATGGTTTTAATTCAAATACTCACCAGACAATCTGTGACCCTCTGTGGCCAACAGAGAAACAAAACAAAGGTATCAAGAACAAAAAGCAGATATATTCTTCTATTTCACAGCATTCAAAGATTTCAACTTAGTGCAGAAAGAAGAACAGAAAGCATGAAAATGTCAAACACCACCACAAATTACATTATTCTAGATGTTTGAAACTTTAATAGAAATATAGTAAAACTGCCGATGGAACAGAAACGTGAAATGAATTCAAAGTTTGAAAAACTGACAAAAAATAGTTCTATGCTTCTGAAGTATTCCCTAAAATTACTCCTACTATAAGGAGAACTTGTTTAAATCAAAGTTTTCCACATATTTCTCATTAATTCCTTATTAGCATCTATATAGTTTATGTATTGCTTGGGTGTCTACAGCATTCTCCTGGAGAAATCATGTGGTAAATTACATTCATTACTATCACAACCTAATCAAAGCAAGGAACAGTCAAGACAAACAAGAAGCTGCTCCTTCCTTGAGATTTTGGAGAGAGCCCATAACACAGAGGAAGCTATTTTAAGGATGGCTAAAAAAAAAATGCCAGTCTACAGCCTCATCCAAAATTTATTTGAGTTCATTTCAGCAAGATAGAAACCTGTCATAGCTATTTTCAATTATATATTTCAAATCAGTTTTCAAACTGAAAAAGAAACATTTTAAAGAGATGACAACAGCAAGACCGCAGCCCTGTAAACATAATAAGAGTGACATTTGCAAATGGGACCCTGGAGGTCTCGCTTTGTACAGCAGCATTCAGAAGAAACAGAACGAGGACATTAATTTTAAATACTGTTTTTCATAAATACATCACTTTATTATAATCTTACAGTGTGAGTTTTATTTTAGGCAAATATGTAGGTATGCTAGGAAGAACATAAAAACCTGTCTTGTTGATTTACTATTTCTTCTGCTGTCTAGTGGTGTAACAACCCCATCCAACATTTAAATAGGGTATTTGGGAGTTCAGTTTTTGTTCCTACAAAGAATGAAGTGTGCCCATTATTTCCTTACACCACAAGTGCATTGCTGCAGGGAGTACCTACTTCAAAATCAGTAAAAAACTGATAAAAGTCACAATGTCACTTCCTGTGTTAATATAATTAATGTCTGATAAGAAAACACTCTAAGTCTTGATCCCAAGTCCAATTAAATCCCTGTTTGTTTTCAGACACAGCACTGACTAAATGCCTATATTCCTATTCTGAAGGAAAACTAATCCCTTCATTTCCTACCATTTACAGGTCCCACAGTAACATGATTTCACCAGTCTTCAAGTTGAATAATCACTAAAAATTAGAGAGATTCCCTTCAAAGTAATAGAGAACAGGAAGAAATGTCGACCCTACGTATATACAACCTCTGGATACTGAAAATACTGTGTCATCCTGATGCTACTTTCCCATTCACCTTATTTTTATTCCAGTAATACCTGAGATTAACCTTAACTGGTCTTCAGGGAAGAGATATGAATTGTTCAGATGTTTGGATTCAGAAGCTATGGCCAAAATGGCTTTAAAACAGCTCTGCTCCCCAGTTTGTATATATGGAAGCTTTGGACACACACACATCCTTGAAGATGGCAGTAATTGTGGATATTAAAGAAAAATAGGGATTAGAATGAAATTATGTACCAAGTCTATGGATAAAGACTTGCATATTTTAACAAGGATGGTTTATTAAAATCTTTCAAAGTACAGAATTAATATAAACAAACACTTCCAAAAAGTTAATCCCAAACAAATGGAAGCAACATGGCAAGAAATTTATTTCTAATATTTCACATGCCAGAATAACAAAAGAAAACATTGGTTTGTATAATTGAATCAGGCCAGGCCAAAATAAAAAAGTTGAGAACACAAGATTTCTTTGTAGATTTGATAAGAATGAAAACTGATCACAGCCTCTGATGTGACATTAGGTCTGGACGTAATCAAACACTTGAGACAGAGGCAAGCCCTGGACCTCAGATCACTGTAACTTTCATTACTCAGCATTAGTAAGGGCAGTGGCAGCTTCACATTACAGAAGTCACTGGGACCAAAGAGGATTTTATTTCTACTCACAGCAAAGTTTAAGAAATGCTATCACAAGGCGATTTTTAATCACTATATACAGGAGGAAACTATGATCTCATAGTTGATCCTGCTTTGAGCAAGAGCCTGACAACCCTTCCAGACTTAACTGTTCAAAAAAACAGGGTAAAGAAACACAGGAGAAGGGCTTGGAAAGGCAGACAGAAAAGGTATTGAAGTATTCCTCTACCTGAATACACAGCAGAAGTAAGCAAAAAGTATGAATTGTTACCTTGGTTGAGTGACAATAACAATTGGGTAAAAATGAGTAAAATCTTGTAATAGTTTAATTTAAATAGCATTAAAGTGACAAAGCTTTTAAACTATCATTTATCAAGAAAAATCACATGTTACACTGTGCAAGTAATTCAGCTAGTATTTCATAGGGTCACAGAACATCCTGAATTGGAAGGGACCCACAAGGATTGTCAAGGTCCAGCTCCTGGCCCTGCCCAGAATGGCACCCAGTGTCTGAGAGCATTGTCCAAACTCTTCCTGAGCTCTGTCAGGTTTGGTGCCGTGCCCACTGTCCTGGGGAACCTGTTCCAGTGCCCAACCACTCTCTGGGTGAAGAACCTGTTTCCTGGTATCCAACCTAAACCTCCCCTGACAAAGCTCCAACCATTTCTTCAGGGCCTGTCACTGGATACCACAGAGGAAAAAGAAAAATATACCCAGCAATTTATTCTGTCCTTTCTCTATTTTCTAATCATCTGAAGGTAGCTCTCTGTCCTTCACATAACACAAATGTGCTTCACATAACAAATATGAGCTTCACATAACAAAAATGCCCAAGTCTACCACACAAGCCTTGTAAATGCTACAAGCAAGGCAGGAAACCACTCAGGATACTCAAGGCAGGCATTGCCATTTCTGAGAATTCAAAACAATAGGTGTTAAAACTACTAAAAATGTTTATTTTGCATCATAACAAGAGAAACACCAGATATCTAAACAAGAATTAGGAAAGAGTTGGGTTTTTTGGTTTTTTTACTCTGTCAATACATCACATTTTTTGAGGGTCAGAGAGGCAAAACTGAAAAGCCACAGGGAGGGCAGGGGAGCCCAAGCCACCCAGTTGTGTCTCTGGTCACTCTCACCAGCACTTGTAGTGCTACTGTGTTTCAAAAGGACTACACAAGAGTTCTTCCCCATCACAGAGTGTCACATATGGATACATCTCACCTCAGTCAAACTCCCTTCAAAATACACAGGAATGGTCTTGACAGCTTCATATATTTTAGCTTCTGTTGTACCTGAGAAGAAGCTGTGTCAAGGAGGCTTTAATTTTCTTCCACTAAATTTCCAAATGTCCAACTTTGTAACTACTGATGGACTGACCAGAAATTTTACTTATCTCTAAACCAGTCACGCTGGGGATTTTTAGGAGTCAATTACAAACAGCATTCTTAATGCACATTTCACGACTGTCATCTTAAAAGAGAAATTTGAGTTCAGAGATGGTTGCACTGAGCGATACTGACAGGAACTTTAAACAAATAAAACAGGAAGATTTGATAGTAGATTTCAATCTAAGCAGATAAAAATTTTCAGAAAGTTTTACTGAAAGACTTCAAAATTTTAAGTTCTACTGTACAGTGCTAAAAACTATTAATACAGAACACCGCATGAAACAAAATACAATTATTTTTTTGTTGAATTAAATAGCCACAAACAAAACAAAACACAGAACTGCACACTTACCAAATTCTAAAAAAGCATGCGCAGAGGAGGCTCTGTCATCATCCAAATTGGCCATTTCAAATTGGTGCAGCTAATCACAAACGTCTCAGGCTAAGCTACAGTAATTTTCAAAACTGTTTAGTAAATGTTAAAGGCAATCAGCATTAAATTAAGTGAAAGCAATGTTAGTGGAGTTATTAACACAACAGAGTGCACAGCACAAACTTTCATTATATATGTTTCCTTCTTCTACACTGACCTCTTGGTTTTATTTTACTTTTACTTCCATAAAACTTAGTAGTTTACTCCATCTGAGTGAAAGGACATAGTTTATCAAAAAAAATTCCATCTTTTGGATATTTGACATGAGCTTTGTTATTCAATAGGAAAATTCATTCATCACCAAAAGGTGATGAATACATTCTGATATATTTCAAGATAAAATAAAAATACTGATTTAACTAGTACACACTAAAGTGTTAAGAAACAATGATAAGGAGCTAAAACTCTGCTTATGCTTACTGCTGCTTTCATCCCATGTGAAATCTACACCAGCATGTTTCTTGCAGTCATATACATTACTTATGGCACTGAATATCTCAGTTATTAGACGTATGTCATCTTCAACTTTGGAATATACAATCGGAAAAACGTGTCTGTAATTATGATGACAAGTTTTTCAAAACTTTAAAGTTTATCTTTTTTAAAGTAAGAAAAATTTCAGGGGCTTTTTACTAATGAACTGCTGTCTTTAGAATCTGCTCCTAATCAGAGTAGCAACAAATGAAACAGTATTTTATTGCTTCAGGAAGGGAGACAAAAACTTCTGAATAAAATTTGGTTTTACTGGAAAATAAGTAATTCATAATTTAATACACATAAACATGAGGACACAAATTCCCTCCTACGGGATTTGAATCTTACATGATCCATTGCTGCAAGCTATAAAACATGAGTCACTGGTGCATTTCAGGCACATGTGTCTACACTCAGCGTTTACTACATCTTACTAGTAGCACACTAGTGCCTCAAACCAAACAAAACAGTGCTTTCTGTGAGCTGGGACTCCAGCACAGGCCTCAGCCAAAAATAACTTCAAACCAAAAAACCTCAAACCAAACAAAACAGTGCTTTCTGTGAGCTGGGACTCCAGCACAGGCCTCAGCCAAAAATAACTTCAAACCAAAAAACCTCAAACCAAACAAAACAGTGCTTTCTGTGAGCTGGGACTCAAGCACAAGCCTCAGCCAAACTAGAAACGCAGGGGACTTTTAGTGACTTTCTCTGATAATCCCAATCATGTCTCCTGACAGCGCCAGGAAGGAAGCAAAAAAGCCCTGAAGTTATAGAAATTTCAACATAAAGACGTAACAGTAAATTTGAAATATAAGAACGTTATTTTTATTTTTAGATATGAATGTTACCTGAAAGATATAAAATAAAATTTGATTTTTAAATCAACTCTTTAAACCAAAAAACTTTTCAATTAAAATAATGTTTATTTCTTGAGCAAATTTCTTCAGTTGCTATATAAAATGCCATGAACAAATCCCTAGACAATCTCTGAACGAAATCTGTATGAACTAGGAAAGATGGAAGTGAAATTCTTTATACATGTAACAAAAAAGAAATTTTGTAACAGGCAGGGAAAAAAAAAAAAAAAAAAAAAAAAAAAAAGTAACAGGCAGCAGGAGTTAAGAAAAAGTGAAGTGTTTGAAACCATCAAACGCCTTCTGCAGCCACAGCCTGACCGTGCAGGGGATTCCCAGAGCCCGTGCGCTGCCCCAGGCTCGACATTCTCACAGGCGGCTGCAGCCCCGGCTCTGCGGAGCGCTCGGCTCCGTTTGTCAATCCCCGGGAGCACACTGACAGCTCCTTCAGCTGCTCATCGCGGGACCTGCCAATCCATCTACACACAGACTGAACTGTTAAAGCCAAATTAATCGGACTAGACTTTAAACAATCAATTCTTTAGAGCTCTCATAAAGCCCCGTTTTGGACTCACACTGTTTGATCAGTTACTAGCACAACAAAACCAAACACGCAAATAAGTAACAACTGAGTGTTACAAGCATGTATGGTGTATAAATAAACACAGGGATATTCTGGAAAACTTTTTCTGTTAGAACAATTAAACGCCTGGTATGACTATATTTTATTAAAAAAAAAAAAATTCAAACCCCAAGTTTTTTGAAGTTCAGAAATTCAGGCTAACTTGGCAAACATCACCCTTTGGTTTAGGCCAGAACTTAGCTGCCCCACGCTCAGAACACGAACTTCCCACGCTGTAGAACAGCTACCTTCACCTAAGAGAAACCTGGCAGGAGCTGTACTTTCCTCTAAACCCTTTACAGAGCTGCGGTGCCGAACACGCCACGAGCAGCCGCCTGTGCTCCCGTGGGCACAGGTGGCACCTGAGCGCACCGGGGCCGTGCCCGCCACCCCGGGTGTCCCCTGCGCCCCTCAGGGCCGGGCCCGCCCGAGCACCGCCTCCCGCGAGAGACGCGGCGGGGCCGGGGAAACAGCCCCGGGCCGGGCCGGGAGCGGGGCGGTGAGCGACGGGAGGCACGGGGACCCCCGGAGCTCCTCCCGGGCAAGCCAAGAGGTCAGACCTGAGCGTTTGGAGCGAGCGCGCAGCTCCAGCATCTTCCAGCTCACGTCAGCCATGTGAGTCGCCGCCATGGCGGAGCGGTCGCGGAGAGCCGCCGGCGGGGCTGCGCGGCACCGGGCGGGCCCTGCCTGCCTCCCGCCGTAAAGCGCCCGCGCAGGCTCCGCCGCCGCTGCCGCAAACCGCGGCCGGCGGGGCCGGGCCCGCCCCGCTGCCGTCAGAGCGCGGGCGGGGCGAGGCCGTGCGCGATGGGGGCCCGCGGGCCGTGCCCGCCGCTGGCCCCGCTGCTGGCCTTGCTGGCCCTGGCGGGGCCCGCCCGAGCCCTGCAGAATGTGACCGCTCAGCTCTTCGGGCCCGAGGCCCGCGGGACCCTGGCGGCCTTCGGCGACTTCAACTCGGACAAGCAGACGGACCTGTTCGTGCTGCGCGGCGGTGAGTGCGCGGCCGGGCCGGCGGCAGGCCCGGGGCTCCGGGGGCTCGGGCGGTGTCAGCCTCGCTCCTCACAGCGAAGCGGGGACAGCCGCGGGTGCCGCGGCCCGGCAGCTCCGTGCGGGGAGACGGCGGAGCTGGGGCTGGGGCTCCGGGACAGCGCTGCCGGGCGGCTCGGCAGAGGGGCCGGGCTCGCTGCGCCCTGGCTCCCCGCGATCTCACCGTGCCGCCTGCTCGCTCTCCCCAGCGCGCCCTGAGCGCCCCGGCTGTGTCGCCGAGGGCCGGCGCGGTGAGCACAGCGTCGTTTGCAGGATGGAACTGACACTTGCTTTGCTCCCAGGTACTCCTGTGTGGAATACGGTGTTCAGTTTGCACTGGAATGGTTCATATGGGGCGCATTTTTTTTTAAAGTTGAATTTATGCTTGTGAAATAGAGATTTCATCCTACAACTTGAATGGTCACAAATTATTTTACTCCTGCTTTCACAATATTTTGGGAAACAAAGGTGGACATTTCACAGATGTGGAGGAAAAATTGCACATTATCCTACTTTGGGCATTATGTTAAAGTGTCAGGGTAAATAAATTTGTTACAGCTGTCACTTGCCACAAGTTTCTCTTAAGGCTTCAGATATGGGGAGACCTCAAATCAGGGCTTATTTTCAGTGGTCAATGTTATTTGCTGACATCAATCTTGAAATATTTTATTTTCTTGAAGCACATTAAGAAAGTAAATTTATTCTTAGATTTACCTTTTTTTTTTATTCTTTTCATCTCAGAAATGTTTTTCTAAGTAGCTTTGGTAAAGCATGAGTGACTTTCCCATCTAGTTGAGTTATTGAAATGCATGGCTCCCTGGAAATGCTCCACTGGCTCATCTATTGAAAAAAATGGTCAGATTTAAATGAATGTCTATGATAAGAGTTCTCATTTTTACTTTCTTATCTTTCAGATGAGTGCATATAAAAATGTGAATAGCTACAGGTTTCAGGAATGAGATTTGTGATTTCTTTATGTCTCTATAGCAGCACTTGATGAATCATTTCCCTGTGTGGTACTTATTGTAAAAATCAGATTGAAATCACATGGTCTGAAACATTATTTTTCGTAACTTAAGTGTTGGTGAAAATCAACTACAGAATACTCTCAAAACAAAAGGTAGTAGTTCTAAATGGTGGGATTAATGGCAGCTAATTGAAACAGCATGAGGAAGTGAGCAATGGAGAGGACACGAGACTTTGAGGAACAGGAATCTGTAAAGCAGCCCATTCCTAATAATCCTGACACTTAATAAAAAAATGGGGATTATGTCTTGGACCTTTGGCTGGATATATATTATTTTTCTGATCTTGCATTACTTCAGTAGAGTGAGAATAATGTTCCATATGCTCAGATGCATAAAAGAAAATCAGATTGTGCTCATATCTTGGTAAGAAATAGTAAACTCACTGAATGTAAGGGATAATCCAGATCCAGAAGTATCCTGTTGCAAGACCAAGTCCAAAGTACCAGTGGACTCTGGGTTTAGTCACTCTTTGAAACTCAGAATCTACAAATGAATGGAATTGTGCGTACAGTTATCTGTTTTGTGAGTCTGTGTATGTAACAGTTCAGTGGGGAAGCTCATGCTGGTTGATTGTTTCATGTACCAGCTTCTGGTTATGCTTGATGCTTCTGCTGGAAGTACAGGCAGTGAGTGAAGATTCCCCTGTTCACCTGCTGCATTTCATTGGAGAATCTGGGAAACTTCCAGGAACGTGTGCTGCAGCTCAGGCAGTGTTACCCTGGGCCTGTGCTGGCCTCCCTGGCCTCTGAAAGGGCTCCTGGTCATTAACTCATGTGGTGGTGAATTCTCATTCTCCTCAAGAGGTTTGTGGCAGGTGCCTCTTGTTTCCTAGTGAGGAGCCTTGTATTCTCTGCTATGTCACAGCTGTGAACTCTGCCTGAAACAGTGCTCTTAAAAAGTACTGTGGTAGCTCAGGTGCGGAGCCTTAGAATTATTCTTTTTCAGAGAATGAGTTTGTGGTGCTGCAGCTGGGTTTATTGGAGAATGAAAGAAAGAGAAAAATACAATTACTGCACTGTGAGCTATGTTTTACTTACAGAGGTGTGTGTGTATTGTGGTTTACTGACTGAAAAATTTATTTCATCACTGAGGCTAAAATTCTTCTTTTCTTCCCTGAATTTCAGTTATTTCTGCAATATAAAATATGGGCTTTTATTTAGATTGTCCTGAAATAATGAAATTATACTTGTATCATTGCCTCTAAATGAGGAGACACTGCAGGGAACCAAACAAATTCTGAGTTTCCTTTAAAGTGCTTTGGGCAGCTGACATGGAAAGCAGTATAAGATCCTTCTATGTGAGACAGAGTATTAAAAGAATTAATTTGAGTTAGCTTTTAAACTTTAATTAGTTTTGTGGAACTGCTGCCTATTACTTTTCCATGTATAATATTTCTTAATTCATTGCAAAAAGTTTTATTTTAAGCAATGTGATAAAAATAACAGAGAGAAAGTTCTAACACTAAACCCCCAAAGAAGATTAGTGATATTAGCATTCCTTTGAGATGCAACTGACTTTGTGTTGAAGAAGTGCTCCTTTGCATCCTTTTGAATGAGGGGGAAATAGTGGTATGAGATGTCTTTGAAAGTTTTTTGCTGCTGTGGGGAATGGTCATTTGTGGCAGTAGTTTGAATGCTGGGTTTGTATATAAGCTATTTCCAGTCTTCCTCTGTTGCTCATGGTCTTGCTTGCCTTGGCAGGAAATGAGTTGGTGATCTTTTTGGCTGACCAGAAGGAACCCTACTTTAAGCCCCGTGTTAAGCTACCAATGAAGTAAGTATGGCTGTTCAGTGCTGCCACAGCCTGTTTGCCTTGGAAGGGCCTCTCTGCACTCAGTGGGAGCTGCCTGCAATTGTCTGTGCTCTTGTTACTTGACTTGTTGTTCAGCTTGCCTTTACAGTTCTTTGACCAACTTCCTGATCTATGTCCTGATACGTTTTTGTTTTGTTGGTCAGATGACAGAGTCTATAGAGATGAGTTGTGTCGTTCATGTTGTTTACTAATAAGTGTTACTTCACAGCCCTTATGGAATATTTATGGTTTAGGTTTTGTCCTCAAATCAGTATTTAGAATACCCATATGTTGAGATATTTTTGCACTTGATTTGGATCTTCAGGACTGTATTTCCGAGTGAAGCAAACTGTCATTCCATAGCACACATAGGTCTTTGTGGTGGGTGGGTTTAGGATCAATCCCAAGACATGTTTTCAGGGAAACTCATCCATTTGCTCTAGTTACTAATGGAATCCAGCCAATATAATCTGATTTGGAAGAGATCTGAAAGATGGTGTTCTGGTATTTCTACGTAGAGATGTTCCTTTACAAGTTTACATGTGGCCTTTAAAAAACATCAGTTTTTAATACCTGTGAACCAATCTGTTTATATGTGCATATATATGTCTAGCTTTAATATGCTGTAATACTATTATGGTGATTGCTTATGAATAATGCTTACCAATAGTATTATGTTTATGAAAAGTTAAATTGCTTTTATAGCTCAGCTTCATCTTCTGTATTCTACATATTTTTATTTTTCCATATTCCCTCCTGTCTGGGAAGGAACTAATTTCTTTAGTGCATTAGAAAGGATCTGCTTTTAATCCTTGATGTGATCTGTGTTTGTGTGTGTAAAGCAGAGTCTGAGTAGGTAAGCGAACAAAAAGATGGAACAAACAAAGGTAGGAAGGAGTAGTAAAACCTAGTAGAAGGCAGGAGGAAATGGCATTTTCTTTTTAAAAATCTACCTGTGCCTGTCTCCTGCTGTTTAAACAGCTCCTGTTGCCTTATGTTCTTGCTCCTGGAATGCAACCAAAAGATCCTGCTCACTGAAACACATTTTGGTTGACTGGTTCTACAACAAATGTGAGGATTTAATGAAGTGTAGATAGCATTTACAAACAGAATATGGCTAAAGAATGTCGGATAGCTGAAGTTCAGAGTTAAAATGTCATTTTCCTTAGACAAAGACAGGCTGATTTTGAGACACTTTTGCAATAGGCAAGGACTTTATCCTAAACCAGGTAGTTGAAGGGTAACATTGCATTGGACCAAAAATAATTGGACAAGCCTTTAACCACACAAGTGCTTTTTACATACTCACCTTTTTTTTACAATTATTTGCATGTGAGGGCTTTTGTTTTTAATTCCAGATCCCTTGGTGTCACCATAACCAGTGTAGTTCCTGGAGATTATGATGGAGATTCCCAAATGGATGTCCTCCTCACTACCCAGGCCCCAAGTCATGGCAAAGATGAACTTTCAGTGTTTATTTTCTGGGGCCACAACCAAACGTTAGGTGAGTTGCTGAGACTGGTTCTTAGTAAGATTGTTAGACTTCTTAATTCAAAGTGTTGTCAAGAAGTTACAACTCATTTTTACAGTGTAATGATTGTTTTTACAACTAAAATAGGGATTAGCAGCTATTCAGCTTCACACCCATATATTATCCTGCTGTTAAG